TCACCTGGAGAAAGAGGATGAATGGGTGGAAGTATGGATAAAAACTAGAATCATAAACATATTATATAAGGATCTTACTCTTTTCCTCACACAAGCGTTTGAGCGGTGTTTCATTGTGTATAAGACTTTATTGATCCCACACCGGAGAAATTTAATTGTTACAACAGTCTATAAATAAAAGCAATAGAAAAAGCAGACCAAAAGATACTATAACAAAACAGAAATACGTAATTAGAGCACACAATTACACATATTGCACAGATGGATGACCCAAATACACATACAGATATTGCACCAAGTGATATGAATATACAGTATGTTACAGACATACACACGCATTACAAATAAGACCTGAAGTCCCACCTCAGCAATATGAACGGGAAAGCGAATATACAAAAATACTTACTTGTGCAGAGCAAATGAAGATAATTTGCAGTAAAATTACAAGCAACGGTCCCCGAGAAGCTGCGGTGCTGGCCATGGTCTCCGTCAGCACAAATGTCTCGCTGTGCTCAATCCGCTAAAAACCCTCTCTAATCGGGACCGAATAATGCACATGGCACTGAAGGGGGCTTTGTAGCCCATCCATCACATGGCTGTGTTTATTCATGACGTGTTGCGCTATAGGAAGTGAATACAGAAATATTGGACCACACGAGAAACAGCAATCCTACCGGCGACAGACCAGGGTATCTTTAAAACTTTCACTATAACATTTTTAGGCAGATGTGAAGATTTTAAATGTTACGGTCTTCCATATAATGTCAAACAGGCCAGCATACATATAACCCGCATTGCATTTTGTTTAAATTATTCGTCTTTCTGTGAATGGTGCATGTTTTATTTCTTATAGGTAACCGCAACATCATCATACTGGAGATTTTATATTTTAGGAATAGATATTCTGGGCCACTGGTAGGTTAGTGAATACTGCTATATAGAATTTACTGAGATTTAATTAGCTCAAATTTATAAGCAGTTTATTTAAAGGAATAAATTTAACACATTTAGCGGGTTTTCTTACCATACAAGATTATTGGTGAAACTTTAAATCCTGACCCCCACAGGCTTCTGGGGTGACTACTCTATTTGCCTTTCCGTGTGTAAGATATATTGCGACAAAACTAACTGGATAAGCAAAGTGACATATCCATCATTATTAATTAGTTAGGCTAAATGTCAAAAGTGCATAAATTTTACACCTCCGTTTAACACGTGTTTCATGTGTGATAATGTAAAATAAGTAAGATAATGTAAAATAAGTAAGAGAATTGTGAAGATCATTACTTTTCCATTCATGCGTGTTTCTCAAAGTGTGTGGGAGGGGGGGTCGGGGTAGGGGGCGCGTTGACAGTGTGCTAAAACGTGTAGCGGAACCGAAGCCTGCGAGCGGACCGTGGGGATGAGAATTTCCGCTCATCGCACACGGAGCTGTACGCCCTCCCGCCCCGCTCCCAACCATCGTAGATCGTTTCCAGCTCCGGCCAATTTTCCACCCAGCTCCAATGAAATCACTTACCGTTCGCTCCAACAAAGAAAACAATCTGCGTTGTATTTTAATTTAAATGAAACTGTAGCCTGGCATGAAAATAACTGAGCAACTATATCCACATTAAAGCAGAAATTATTTATTCCAAGATGTAAGCAGGTCCTGTGCTCCGGCTGCCAACTTGAACTTAGATCAGATGACTGGCATTCGATACAAGTCTGCACAAAAATTTACATGCACTTGTAAATAAACTGTAGGGTTTGCAAACTACCACAGCGATTTCGATGTAGTAAATCTTAGCTTTTAATGGAAAAATGTAGATTTGCCGTAAGATTTCTTGCGTGTCACGCCAGATGTGTGAGAATTGGGAACTCTGCGAACGCGGAGCGAGACGGAGCCAGAGATGAGGGGATGCTCCAGCTTTATTCAAATATGTGCTCGCTCCCGCTCCGTCCAAAATCCTTCCGCGCTCGCCCCGGCTCTGCTCCACTCACATGCTCTGAATGGAACCAAAGTTGAATTTACGGTTTTCAAGTGGGAGCAATAGAAAACAGTTCTTTTTCTTTCAGACACTGAAACAAAAGTGAAGTAAAGCTTTGACATCATACGCCCCCCCCCCAACACATACTAAAACAACCTAGATCTATCTATCTATCTATCTATCTATCTATCTATCTATCTATCTATCTATCTATCTATCTATCTATCTATCTATCTCATTACTGTTATACATTTTCAGTTTCTCTACTAGTTAGGTTACTAATTCATTTCATTTTTAATTAATTGCATTGGTTTAATGAATTGCAGTTTTTTTCTTAACCTTCAGGTCTAAGGTCACACACACACACACACACACACACACACACACACACACATAGTGGCCTGAGATGCTTCCTCTATTCCTGGATCACAAAATATAACTTTCTGCAGTTAAACTGGCAGCAACTATCAGTTAAAATACTTTCAGACTTTCACTGTCATGTTCATAAATTGTTCAAAACGCAAGGCTACATAGGCTGGCAACTCTGAATCAATTGACTCCAAATGTCAATATATGGCATTAACAGGCAGTTTTGTCTTCTAAAATCCAAGTCCTATAGAGAGAATTACCATGATCATTTTGCATATTTATGAGTAAATTGATGCAAATAACACAACTATGGTGTCCTAAGCAGTAGAAAGATGTTACAGATGAGGCATCCATTACCCTATCCTTAAAAAACATAGATGTTTACATGTAGTATGCCAAAAGAAACCTACAAACTGAAGTAGGTCCCAAGGTGAATTGTTCCAGTGGCCCTATTAGGGCGTGAGATGCATTTTTTTTCATTTAGACTACTGAAACCATCAGAGGCCAAGGTAAACGTGACATTGACCCTATATTGTCACAATTTTGTTCTTATGGGAATAAAACCTTCTATAATTCTAATTACCACACTCAAGGGGCTCTAAATGGGTTTATGTATAAAAACAATATGCCACAGTCAACAGATCTAAACTTGGCTGAACCTTTATGGGAGATTATGGAGCAAACCCTGAGACCACCACTATCCAAAATAACACTGAATGAAGGAATTTGTCATACAACAATAGGTTGTTCTTCTTGCATGCTGTGTTGTGTTAAAAAGAAAACTTGAATGACAGGATGGCGTACAGTTACTCACAGAGACCAAGTTGCATTTGCACCACTGTATATAGGAAGGATCGAGTAGGTTCTCTCCCCTCAATCTATATGGCTCACATTCACAGCAAAAATACAAATAAGTACAAATGCATATTTTACACATCTTCCATTTACCCTTAATCCAACTATTATACATATATAGAAAGCAAAGAACAACTGTTTAAATTTCAAAAATTATCAAATAAAAAAAAAAACATCATTAACAAAAGCAGGATTTAAAGTTCTCAACACGTTGAATTAATTCCAAATCCCATTTATTAAGAATAATGTTAAATATGACAAAAGAATACAATGAGCGGATGAGACTTTAAAGTATGATTCTTATCAGCCAAAAATGTATGCTATGCAACTAAACAAATTATCATTTGATGTGATTAAAATTAGTGTAGGCTTGCTTGTTGGTTGGCCGCCTATTTGCTCTTATCAGTCACGTTAATGTTTATACAACTGGTTTTAAAAGAGAAGTGATGGATCAATGACAATCTTCTTGGTTCCATATTAAGGCACAATCTGTCTCTTTATTGTTTAATCAGACTCTTACTGAGTTTATACGGCCTAACTTATTCAACATCATTTAAACCTGAACTTCCTTTAAGATGATTTTTTTTCCCTGGATTTTTACTTTCTGTTCCTGACATGTCCAGCTCATTATTAGGGAAAAGTGGTGAATGAATCCAAATTAAACACTGGGGGACGCAGATATCCTGCACTTGTCTATATATGTATATACAGGCATGGGGAGTAACGGAGCACGTGGAATGACATTCCACATTGAGAATACAAAAAACTAAATATATTTGTTACAATTACAGGAAAATAGATATAATCATATTATAGATGCATTTAGAAAAAATGAGGATTATTACCAGGATTACACTTACAATAAATTTTAGAAACAAAGAATGATTTTCTGTAGACACACTACACACACACAACACTACACACACACACACCACCCCACTAAAGCATGCGGTGTCACTAGACCGCTTTTACTGGGGTACGTGCCCCAGTATTTATGTGCTGTGCCCCAGTAAAATCTCACGTTCGAAGCATATGGGTAATGGGGGGTGGGGGGCTTGTGCCCCAGCAGAGCTTTATGTCTAGCAACTCCCCTGCTCTCAAGACACCATTTCCATTTTACTCTAACAAGAAACATTCACCTACCTAAAAGACCAGTACCCCCTACTGAAAGGGAAGGCATTACCCCATCCATATATCCATTTTCTGTATGGCTTGTCCTATTTAGGATTGGGGATGGGGTACAGCAAGGCTGGGAACACCCCAGGATGGGTCACACACACAAACACATATGGGCAATTTGGTAACTCCAATTAACCTCAGCATGTTTTTGGACTGTGGGGGGAAACCAGAATACCTGGAGGAAACCCCACAATGACACAGGAAAGACATGCGAACCCCTCACACATGGAGTGTGTGCTAACCACTGCTGCCCATTACCCCATCCAGTGGTGCATACTGTACTGAAGATCATAGGAGATGAACCAGCTGAGATGAGACGCCTCAAGGGTTTTTAGGGAATTCGTCAAAAAAAAAACTTTTACAACTAATTGGATTACCACCTTCATTACTAAAACTTGATATAAAAATAAAATCTGTTTCAAAACCTATACTTTCTTAATGCATGTCCAGGCTTTGTGCGCCAGCATATTTCGCAGCGGTTGAGAAACATAATGTTCGTCATCAACCAGGACCGCACTTTCGACTTCAACCCCGAACGCGAACCTCCAGGGTTTGGCATCCTCACCGTCTTGTGCGCGTCTGTCGCGTATGCGCAGTAGAGACCACGGGCCCACGGGGAGCTTTCCATTAAAAATTATTTGATTCGCCGCTGCTCATATTTACCAGGGTTTGGGCCAGGAAATGGAACTTAAGTTGGGATTGAAAAAGACTATAGGGAACAGAATTGGAATTGAATTCGATTTTCAGGTAATTCGATTTTCAGTTCCATTTCATGATTTGGATCGAAATTATCAATGCATTCCGGAATGGCCCCAACCAAGTTTTATACAATCCGTCTTTGAAAGAGCACAAGGACGCTCAATTGTGTGCAAATTCAGGGCGTGAAATCGCACAGACGTTAATAAAAGAAGAAACCTTCTACACACGGGAGAGCAAATCTTAAGGTACACACATACAAATTGTAACCCCTTTTATATTGTAAGTCGCTTTGGATAAAAGTGTCCGATGAATAAAATGTAAATGTACATTTACTGGACCGATTCTACTGCGCATGTAAGGGAGGCGTCCGCGTTCACTCACTTCCGTTTTAATGCGCGCTCACGACAGCGGCAACAACAGAAACGGGCGCGGATAGTGTGTTACTCGAGAAGCGGTTGGACACACGCTTGTCTTCACCGGTTTAAACACTTTCAGCCTCCTCCTTCTCTCCACCCTTTCTGTGCATCGGGGATACAAAACTTTGGCGCCGCAGAGACCGCCGGAGCGAACGAATAAAACCAAACACGTTAGTGCAGTTTTTGCTGCGATCCTACGGCTAGTTACGGACGTCTTTCTCATAACTACATTTGAAAACTGCCGGAGAAGTTAGCTGGCTAGATAACTAGTTAACGAGATTTTGATTATACTCAAGTATAAACGGCAGTCTGTCTGTTTAATCGTTACTGGTTTAGTTTGTTGATTCATAATAACTGCATAGCTAAGCCATGTGTTGATCCCGTATTAGTTGGTTATATGAATAAACGACGTGGCTACTTAAGTCTGATCTTGCATCTTTGATGCCCTGCCTGATTTATGAATATTAACAGGAAATGGACAGCCTGGATTTCTCCGAGGAAGAGATTGCACAGCAGCTGGCAGACCTGGGTTTTACAGGGCTACCGAGACACAGGCTGTGTGAATTTAAACGGGGTGAGCCTCTTTACATACATCTACCTGGTAAAATGACTGTCAGTAGATAAGCATTAAATGCTTCTCACTATTCTGATGCATAAATGCGTGCAGTTTGAGGCTGATTACCTATACTTAATATTAGCAAGCGTATTTTTCCCTTAATTTGAACACACTTCTTGTCAGACCTCGATCTGCTAATTCGTCAGGAGACGTCCGCTGATTGTACTTCAAGCTACGGTTCTGCATTGGGGTTCGACAGCTGCGACAGTGAGGCGTCTCCTGCACTCGGTAAACAGCATGACCCTTTCCAGTTCAAACATTTCTGAACAGTTGCCTGTACTGGTGTTTTAAGTCTTGTATGCATTGACATACTGGTGTTACAGTGCACTCCACTTTTTGGATATTCATCCTTTTCCCATGATTATTCATGCAGTGCAGGCTGAGCCTGGAGCATATCATAGGAAGCACAGGGAAAGCCCTGGATGGGATGTCGATCTGTAAAGGCTATACATTCAGACACTGTGTGCCATTGAGGGAAACCAGGTCCCCTAAACCTGGCTGCTTAGGGTTGTGGTAGGATACCCAAACTGGAAATTGGGTAGTTTTTCATATACCCCATCTTGACACATTGACACATCTATGAGACACATTACAGCATTTTTTAAGCAGTGTCCTCCAGGATCAGAATATAGGGTTAGTCCCTGGAGCACTGGGATTAAGGGCCTTGCTTAAGGGCTCAAGGGTAAAATTACTCGGCCAAAGATATGAACTGGCACAACATGCCAATTAGCAAAGTTACACACCGCCCCACGGTACATGGCTGCTGTACCACCTGCCACCTGTATTTTTTTGGTGTGCTGTTTAAATATATAGAATTATTCACAGAATTTGCACTGGGTTTCAGGTCTTGTGCTACCTTTTTGTTGTGGGGCGGTTCACTAGGCAGCCCTGGTGCCTTCCACCTTCAGGATTGGGGGTTCAGATCCTGTTTCTGCTTTCTGTGTGTGTGTGTGTGTGTGTGTGTGTGTGTGTGTGTTCTGGCCATGTTGGGTGGGCTTTCGCCTGCAGTCCAAAGGTGTACTTAGGCTAAATGTTATCTCTGTTTTAAGTGTATGTTTTAATGTTTTAGTCTGATATAGATCTGTACTTTTGTCAGTATAGATTATACCAGATTTTTTAACTATATAATGTAAATATTTTGCATTGTTATTTATCTTTTGATTTTGATTCAGATGACAATGCATCTTTCAAAATCGTGGCAGAGTCTTTACCCCCTGAGAGGCAGGTAAGGACAAACGCTTAGCTAGCCAAGCATCAGCATGTGTTCTACAGTGTTCGGCAAGCTACTTAAAAATGTAGCAGGCTAAGTTGCTACTAGTTATTCTACAAAAAATATAGGTGAGTGACTTGAAAGCTATACTTTAGAGAAATGTAACAAGATAAGGCACAACAAATTTTTTTAGCGTGGAAAAAAATGAACATCATTATTCTGAACTGAACAAATATTAGTATGAAGGCTTTCATACCAAGTTCAAGAAATTCACAGTGTGGTGATCTGTTGTTTTATGTCAGCTTTTACACGTGATCAGTCATTTTTTTTTAATACGAAGAAAACATTTAATTTGGCATCCTCTGATGAGATACTCAGTCTTTCCTTTTGATTGTCCAACCCTTCCCCCCCCCCCTCCCCCCGCACTGGCTCTAGGCACGCCTCCCTATGGATGCTGCAGATATACACACCTTCCCAGGGAAAGAGAGACGGTGTGATTTGTACGCTCGGTATTCAGTCGCAGCAAAGCATCCCCATGCAGCCTACAGACAGGAAGCTGAAGATGACCTGTGCAGCCATAGTGATTCTGCACTTTCACACATCAGCCTGGCCTCAAAGTCTGAGAGAGAGGGCCTGGCTTCTGGGAAGGCTGTTATGAAGCGCAAAGTTGTAAGGTATGACCCCAGGGCTCAGTGCTGGTACAAATCAAAGTTTATGCCTATAGGAACATTTAAGAGGAAAATTTTACCTGTATGTCTGCAGGAAACAAAGGGGTCGCCTTCATATCTGTGATGAATCCACATGCAGTGCAGGTAACAATTTTGCATCTAATTCTAAACTACAGGTTTAGGAATTAGTTGTGAACCACTTTCAGTAAAATATAGACCTTACTTGATTATTCAAAAGCATTGATTAAAATTTGCTCCCTCAATTTCTCTTCATCTTGTGTAATGCAGTTCATAATAACCATATAATATAAACTATTTATTGTGAATGTGTTTAGTGGAGGGCTGTCCGATACTGGAAAAGTGGTGCCAACAAAACATTTGCTTTTGCTCATTACAAAATATTTAAATACAGTGGAAGACTAATGTCTTTTCCTAGACGGTTCTTGTTCATGTTTCTCCTCTTCACTCATTTTGTTTAATTTTTAAATTGTGTGTGAGTGAGTACACTGTATGAATAAGTCCAACGGTAAGGACAAGCACATGCAGAGCTCATGCAAAAGCAATGGCAGTAAACTTCAGACTTTCTTTTTATTTTACGCATATTTCATAATGTTCAAAAAGAGACCGAAAAATCATATATTTAGTGCCGCACCGATAAGGAAATTTCTGGCCGATACTGATAGCCAAATATTTTGAAAACTGACATCAACAGTGATTGTTGGGGGAGGTTCTGCTTAAATAAGTTTAAAGGGACACTCCACCTGCTTAAATAAAATCCTGAAATTTTAGCAGAGAAATGTTTGCAAAATGCGTTTCTAATTATGTCAAAATATTTCCATAACAAATATTTCCATTTCATGCTGATGTTTTCCTTATATTTAGACACTGTTAGTAGGCTAGGAGAGCAGCTTGAGGGACTGCAGATGTCCGTGTGTTCATATCCTGACTCTGAGCTGCAGCCTGAGGATAGAGACTCCCTGAGTGACGTATGCGACTCTGAGGCTACAGTCTGTGATCTGTCCTCTCGGTCAGGCCTTCGTCCGTATACCGGGGCCATGGTAGGTACTCCCACCCTATCTGCTGAAGCTTGGCTTCTCCTGAGACGTTACACTGCACAGTAAAATGTTGTTTGCATGAGCCCTAATTTATCATCACTGAACTTTTATATTCATTATACACAAACAGCGCCTTGCATTTGTCAAAGCCTAAATTCTTTAACAGTACAGGTCGCAGAGTGAGAGTGACATACTGCCTCGTCCAAAATCCTGTAAGTATTCTGAATTGGAGCTTTGCTATTTAAATAGTGAGCAGGAAGGTGTTTTCACACATCTGCTCCCCTTCCACAGTTATCCAGTCGCAGCATAAGCATCCTCACATGAGGAACGTGAAGAAGACTGATCTGGTTGCAAAGTAAGCTGTATAGTTCTGATTTTCCACCTTAACATCATCCAAGTTCTTGTCCAGTACTAACTTGGCTTGTTTCACAGGTATTTCAAGTACAAACAAGACTGGGAAACCTTCAGAGTACCAGGAGAGAAGGATCGGAAAGAACTGCGCTGGGAGATACGGGTATTTTAATGCTCAGATTATTGCTGACTCATGACCTGCTGTATGCGGTGCTTTGACTTCATTATCTAGTTGCCTTTGGAACATATGGATTTACAACTTACTTTAGTTTTTTGCATAAATTAACAAGTATTGTCCTTGGGCAATTTATCATCGAGCAGCTGAACTGTTGTTGAATGTGGGACACATAAAAGCCTGTGCAATTATTGTTCTGAACCCCAACTCCAAAATCAATGTCCTTCTGTGACTCACTCCTTTGTTTTTTATTGGAAATGACAATTTGCTGAATTGCTTCAGCTGCATCCTGTTGTCTTAATTTAAAAAGGTGATTACAGTGAATACTTAGGAGCACTGGAAGTAAAAAATAGATAAATATGACCCTGATCTAAATGGTTTAAGGGAAAATCAGAAAGGTGAGGTGTGTTAATCTCAACTGGATAAATGCATACCACTTACTGTGACCTATTACAGTGTGGCAGCTGATTTTCTTCGTTTATTCCATTCAAACCACAATGACTGCAGTCTTTCAATAGTGACAATAGTGCATCTCATTAGTCTGAATGGATGAGAAACTGGCTGAACAAATGATTTTTAACTTTAATTGGATTTCAACGTTTTACTGTATAATTTCTTTTTGCAGGAGCAAATGATGTACAAAAGCCAGCCTGTACCAGTAAGTACACCCTTAAATTTTAGCCCTATACCCACTGCGATTCACTTGATCAAGAATACTTTGATCTCGTAAATCACAGAATGAGGCTGCACAGTGACGTTTTGACCTGTCATATCTGGTTCAGGCGTACAAGGACTTAAGCCCTCAATGAACTCCATGTATTTCCATGCTCAGGATTTTGGGCCTGCTTGCCTTTCTCGATGTTACAAATTTCAGCTCCAGATAAGGGCAATAACTAATCTAACATTAACTGGTAATAACTGATGACAAAATTTATCAGCATGATTTTAAAATGCTGGATTAGTGCTGCTTTTGAAAACACCAGCATACCATGCTATAAAGTACAATTCTTAGCAAGCAAAATATGGTTGAGAGCAGATCTGTTTCACTGCCACTTTGTCACTTTTAAATAGTTATTAAAACTGTGACTTAATTTGCAGTTCTTTAAATCTTGTTGTGGCCCACCTAATCAGTTATTGGCTGATCACATGATTATCGAAATCGTTTTTTGCAATCCTACTCTGGATATTAATCCGAAGCACATCATGTTACTTGACTTTTTCCCGCTCCTTCACTTACAGAAGCCTCGAAGGACATATGTGCCAAACAGCTACGTCGTTCCGACACAGAAAAAACGATCAGCACTGAGATGGGAGGTGCGACATTATTTAGCCAATGGGATCCTTCCCTCTAATGTCACTTAGATCCTCTTTTAAGTGTCTTAATCTTGTACACGTGTGTTATGAACTGTAAGATGTTAGCAGATGCTGAGCATTTTATTTAAATATTTATACACAATGTTTTTAAACAGTTGAGTGGTGCTGTATTTAGGGAAAGTCGCTATAGGGGAGCCTGAAGGGGTACAGCGGCGTGAACCGTGAGTCATGCCACAGCAGCTTCTTCTCCAGAAATTTCACAGCGTCCAGCGTGAGCACCAGGCTCTCGTGCTTCAGCATGCTGTGAACGTTCAGGCCTGTCGGGGATAAAAGGAGGGTCAGTCAGCATTAAGGATATCTGTTGCACCACCCTTTCCAATCACACAGCTGTCTCATTACTGCAACATAACTGGTACCAAGTACTGACGAGTAAACACTTGCTAGTTCTGGTTCTCTAATTTAATTAGCTCAGGATAATGGTCTATGCAAGAACGTCAGGGCACAGACTGCCCCGCCCGATCTAGGCCACTACTTTCTTTTGCATTGGATGAGACCTGTGAAGCTGCTTCTATCTATTCATGTATCTGTAAATATGGACTGCAATTGTTTTTCAACTGAACTCTCCCTGCCCTGGATACAAATGTAACATCGCCTCAGGAGACAACTGTGATAATAATAAAGCTTTTTTTAAAAAAAAAACTGATCATCAGAGAGGGATAGAGCAATTCTTACCAATGGCTGGAAGAACATTCACCATCTTTAAACCTGCTGCTGCTTGGAGCAAGTTTTCAGGAAAGGCTTCATTGCTGTGAGACACATTATTGCCAAAGAGACGTACATGTTCACCATAAAATGTCATAACTATGAATAAGCACTAACTGAGCATGCAAGTTAAAAGCAGATACTTACGCGTCTACAAAGAGCACAGACTCGCCCCACTGCCTGTGCCGTACAATGTCGAGCAGGAATTCAGGGTCAGGGGTTGGCATCTCCAGATTATCCACAACATGAAGATAGTCCTTATGATAAAGGCCAAAAAAGACCACTTGAATAATGCCCGATTCCAACAGAGCAGTCTACACAATTACATGTACTCGATGCACAATGAAGCACATAAAATTCATTTAATTTTATTCACTCGGGGATCGTACCATGTTTTTATGATACAACCATATATATTGACTGAAGTACTATCAAGTGACGTCCAGTTGTGCTTAAATTCCATAAGAGCCTTAATAAAATTTATCAAGACATCCAAAGCGGATGTCAGCGAATGTATTTTACAGTCTGCACCATGCCACGAGAATCAAAAACAAACTGATTGTGCTGCCACTATAAAGGTATAATAGTGTGTGATATTGTATTTTATGTCACAGTACATTTGACTTCTCCCCTATAATGACTTTTCGACTGACGTACGTCTTCACTTCTGGGATGAAACTCAGATTCAAGTTGATGGATACTTGTATTTTAATGCGAATGAAGAAGTTTGGTTTAACCCGGCTTGTGAGTGAACAGACGGTAACGTGGAGGCCAAGAGCCACGTCCTACCTGAGCCAGCTTGGACGTCAGGGCCACCTTCAGTCCCATGACTCGCACCTTCATGGGCAGCATATAATAGTAGCTTGTTGGTCCTCTGGGGCCGTGAGAGATACCACCTGTAAATAAAAGTTCATATTTGGCATCGTGCTGATGAAATGCTGAAGTAAAGAGGAAACGGCCCAAGCTGGCCGTCCAGCCTCCAGACAAGGAGAAACACGTGGCTGAGGAAAGCGGAGCTGGAGCGGCCTTTGGGTACCTCCCCTCCAGAGCGGCGACCTGATGCTGCCGTGCCGTGCGCGGCCACTGCCCTTCTGGGCCCAGGGCTTCTTCCCCCCGCCGCTCACTTCTGCTCTGCTCTTTACTTTAGCGTGGCTCTGTAAGGAAACCAGACCTCATCACAGGTGTGTGTTTGCACTTATTACATTGTGAGGACCAGATTTCCCCACAATGCAAAAAAAAAAAAAAAACTATTTTGACCTTTTGTGGACTATTTTTTGGTCCCACAAGGGGAAACTCGGTGTCATAAAACTGACTACAATCAAAAAGTCTCATTTTGTTTGGTTACTTGTGGTTAACGTTGGGACTGGGTAGAGGTTAAGGTTGTCATTGCTGGGATTAGGGTTTTGCCCATAGAAATGAAAGTCCCCATGAAGATATAATATGTGAGTGACTGGCCTTTGGTCCGGAGTGTTCCCCAGTGTGGCACAGGCTCCAAAAGGTATTACATTTTTACAAAAGCAAAATGCATCTGTTTGATGACAGTTTTTTAAATAAAAAACCAAAATACCAGTCAGCAAGTGTCAGAGTGTATATCATTTTAAAAAATTTACGAGTGGACACAAATCCTGTACACATTTTACATAGTTGTTAAATTATACAAGTCAAAAGCTTCTTCACATCCTTTATTTTTGATCAAACGTCAATTACACGGCCTGCAGTCACTTTTCCTTAACCCCACTGACGTGATTTGGGATGAAATGTACAGAAAGGACAAGATCACTTGTGGGAACTTCTGCAGCAATTTTGGAGTGCATTTCAGAATAATACCTTGAGTAAGGCTACGTTCACACTGCCAGCCACATCCTTCAATTCCGATTTTTTGCTCAGATCGGATTTGTCTATCTTGACGGTTCACATTCATAACTACAAGTGACCTGTATCTGACTGTAATGTTAATGCATCGGTCCTCCGAAACATCAAGCATACGCACATTAATACGTTTTTACACAGGTAAAAAGCTGGTCGTAAAATTGGCACGTTGTGCGACCATGACCGCTACACTGATTCGAGTCTTGCCTCAAACTTTGACTTAAGGCTCTTTATTTTTCTTTGGCATTCTATCCACGTTCGTTTATGTCCACGCTGTGCCATTTCTTTGGCAATTATTTCAAATACTACTCTATTACGATAGGTTCCTTCCAGTTTAGCTTGAACAGATTAATTTCCCCAAATATCAATTAAATCCCAAACTTCTCCATCTTTCCACTGACTGTTATTGCAGCTCTCCTCCATTTTTACCTTCCCGTGCAGGCTGATGTCAGCGCATGCGTATAAGCAAAGAGCCACATGAATTCCGATTTGAGCGTCACATTCAGGTCGCATGGCTGCGAATCGGATACATATGAGATTTAGTACCACATATGAAAGTAACACAAATCTGATTTGAAAAGATCAGATTTGCATGTCCACACAGCCCTGAAAAGATCAGATCTGTGTCACATTAAGGAAAAAAAATCTGATTTGAGTCACTTCAGCATGGCAGTGTGAACGTAGCCTAATAAATGCCTAGAGATTTTTTCAGCTATACTCACTGTCACAGTGAGTATTTTACTATTAGTAGTTTAATTGCCATTCTGTACCTTTTTTTCCCTTTGTACAGTACTATGCAAAAGTCTTAGGCAGCTAAAGAAAATGTTTTAATGATCTTTATATACGTGCAAAACTATGATATACCTGTTATAGTGTGTTAGCTTAGCCATTCCAAAATCCCATTTTTCCAGCAATCATACAATACACCCATGTATTTGACTCTACCACTAGCACACGCCATATAGATAATCATTATGTCATTGACTTAACTGATCAAGTTAAGTGAGCTGGTGGTGAAATTCAGTAAATATGTGGAATGGCTGAGGTGCCCTTGAGGAGATGCTTGGGAACTGAAGCTGTGTTCATCTATCCATTCAAATAGATATTAGTAACTTTTTGGAGTACAGAAGAAATTCTAACTAGTTTTTAATTGTGTTATTCTTAATTTGCATGTGTACTAATGTTAAATTGCGTTTTTTTTTGTTCTGAACACATATACCTTTACTATCCAGATAAATAGCTTTAAACATTTCTTTTGACTGCCTTAGACTTTTACACAGTACTGTATGTCACACTGTAATAAGCTCCAAGCTTCAGACTGCGTGTGTACATGAAATTTCATTTTTCATATTTAAAAGTCAGTTTCTTTTTAAGCAGCTAAAATCTGGCATCTTATGTGTCACAATAAGCAGTTCAATTATTTCACAGGTTCAAACTGTTAGACACTTACGATTCTTTTGAAATTTCTCTGCCAGACTTCAACTGCATGCAGTATGTCAATTCTGAAAAGGTAATACAAATGTGAACTTCAGAAAACTCAGGTCAAAATAAAAAAATGTTGCCTGCAATAATCCAGCCTGGAGCCTTAATACCTGTATACATATTCCCACTGTACATCCTGCTACAACACATGATATTACAGCAGAAATCTGTTAACCTTTGGTACGGGGCCCAAATTCCTCAGCTCTGACTTACGTAGTTTTTAACCCACCGGTCCCTCAGCCTGGAACTCCCAAAGCTCTCATGAATGCAGGTTTTCCACAGACATACCACAAGAACCAGGCCTGGAAAATGCTAGCCTGACCACAAACATGCAGATAATCCTGTACTAACAAATATCAGCACCGCTACAATGGGCGAAGGAAATAATGAACCCAAGTAACTACTGCATGAGCTAAAACAAGCTCCAGATTACATCACAGTTCAGAGCAGGGCTGGCTTTTACTAGTATATCATATGATTACTGTTTGTCATATTAACCCCATGTAGTGGTGCACAATATGGCCAAAATTTCACATCACAATATTTTTGGTTATAATCACAATCCACTACATAGATCATTTTTTTTTGTTTTGTTTACAAACCACAATGGAATGTATGTAGTAATGTTAAAATTTCCTTCCAAAATCTAAAGCAGCAAAACCTGAGTGCGAACAATCTGTATTGAGTTTAATGAAATACCTGTATGAGTAGATAAGACAAATCTAGCCATGCCATCTGTTGTACGAACGGTATCTTGAAAAAAACAGTTTTCAAAAATACAGTACACTGATCCAAATTTTGCATATATAAACCATTTCCACACAATCAATGAACAGTGATGTCCTGACTTTTTTGGTACCCCTAACCAACCCATTCAATATTTATGTTTACAGATTCTGAGTCCCGAGCGAGCAAGCAAAGAAGGCTGAGTTAATACTTAGACTTGGATCCATGTATGATGGTTATTCATAATAAAGTTTGAAGGGCATGCAAATTGGATGAGTTTACTGGGCGAATAATAAAAATAATAATACAATAAAAACAAAGAATGCCAGTAGATGGCCTTGACATATGGGAGAAACCCAAAAAAAAAAAAATGGAAGAGTTGTCAGGTATTTCGTAATAATGACTTAGAATCTCATAATTACGAGATCAGGTAAGAATTTTTTTTCCCCTTGTGAATACAATGCGCTTCCGTATGAAACAGATCAGGTCTCACTCAAAACCCCTAAACAGTTGTTTCTTTTTCCCCCTCACCTGTAACCTAACTGGTGGGGAAAGATTCTACAAATTATGAAGTGGAATGTGCAAGAAAGGAATAAGTATACTTTCAAACCTGCATATCATAAAGACTCTCTGCATTAACTTCAACATTTCTAGGTGATCCAACAAGTCATTCTAGAAATTGTACAAGTGCGTGCAGAATGACTATGGCTTAGATGGCCAGACCAAATGACAGGGCTGTCTGTGGAACAGACGGCATCAAATATAGTTATATTTATTGTATTAGGACTAAATAACACCCTGTTGCTGCCTCCTCTCGAAAGGACGGCACTACAAACATTGCAGGTAGCTGTTGGCCTACTTTGCGATTGCAATTTAAAGATTTTTTTTTTTGATAATTTGTAGTTTCAAGCCATGTGGCTCAGGCTTACAGCAGAGTGATGGAACCTTACAACCTGTGCAACTGATGTAAATTGGGCAGATACAAGAAATGAAATAGATCAGTCTATTGGGCTGTGGTACCAGATACTGAAGAACTGAAAAATGCCTGGATCGCCCTTGATTTTGATCTTTGATATGTGCTCAGGACATTTCTGATGAAGAACCTTTTGTTGATACCCAATTATTATCATATCTTGCACATGTCACCTCTTTTGCAACTGTGGCACATGAATTTCATCTGAACACATCACAATAAAACTTGATACTGCAACGTAATTGAATGTAACTGAAATTGTCTTGGATCAATATTGAGGAAGATTTAAGTGAACAAAGTTTTAACTCTTTTGGGGGATGTTAACTGGCACTGCTGAATGACATCACAACGCAAGGTGGGGTATTTTTTTGGCTGAATTCAAAAAATGACTATGGCATTTTACAGGGCGAGGAGATGTGCGATATAACACCAACATGTTATGCACATGCAATTCTCACATCACACAGACTGCAATAGTCAGCTGGGTTGAGATCTGTTTTTTTTTCATACCTTCATACTGTCCAGAAATTATATAGCATTTTACTTTGTCATAGGCAAACTTAGCAAGTATTCAAATTTTAATTATTCCTTTTCAAAATTATCTAGTACTTTTTTAAAAATAGTTTAAAAAGTTTACAGCTTTTGCATGAGCTCTGCAAGTGTTCTCTGAGCCAATCATTCATTTTTATCACTGTTTAAAAACCACTCCTAGACAGATTTGTGACGGAGGTGTGACATCACGTTACATTATAGCGCAATTCTGTAGTCACGCTGTGTATATATTCTGTATACACACTGTATCTCTCCATTTTTGCTGTTATCTTCACTAATATGGTAATTTAAGTGTGTTAATGACCCATATTATGTATGCTGAATTTGCAGGAATTAAAATTATGTAAAAATCCTGAGATTCCACCATGAATGTCAGGCCCTGCACTGTGGAAAAAAATGACCTCACTATGATGCCCCTGTCATTCTCCTGCGCCCTGTCTCACTAACACATCCTAACATTTTTATTGAAGAGAGAAGGAGAAGAATGAGAAAGTCTGATAGAATTGTGTGATGGAAAAACAAGCGGGCTGGGATTGTAAAGCATGTCCCAGTAGAGCCATATGTCCAGTTTTCCATCTATTGTATTACCCTCATAGAATTTAAACAGTCAATGGATAAATACCTTTTCATGCCATAGTGACACAATAATGAATGTTCTTTGCATTATAATCCATTGACAGGGAGAACTCTTGTACCTCAGAGACTTTATTTACACAAAATGTTGTTTATATTTGGTTAGAAATTGCCTCGTGTTATTTTATTTTATACTCATGTTAATATTTAGATTTTAACAAGCTAAGCAAATCTGAATAAAGTTAATTGCACTGTGATGGTAATTGTTAGCCTGGTATAATAGGTTTTTGTACAAGTTTTACATAACTCAAGTTAAATTTAACCATTGGCAAAGCCCCATGAAAACTGCAAATGAATTGTTGGAATCCAGTCAAATTCTCATTTGAATCATGCAGGTTAGGTCATTGTTATTTTCAATGGTATAAATACTGTCTTAAGTAGTAGTATTGGTACTCAGTATAGGCAAGTACACAAATGTAAATACTCACTCGGTCTGGAAAAAAATGGTATTGTTGCAACCCTAATTAAAACAAATGTGCTGCACTGAAACACATTTTACCATAGATGTGAGCTTATTTCATCACTTACAGATGTTCAGAAAGCTATACCTGGGGTGCACAGCAAAGACATCTGGGTGAAGCTCAACCACACCCAGCTGGTCCTCCCCGCGACTTCTCAAGGACTCCAGCCATGCCTGCCTGGGGCGCAGATGCCGCGCAATCTCTGCTTCACACTTGTGCAGCACTGGGACACTGTCCGTTGGCAATGGCCGAACTAAAAAACAAACAAAAAAATCCTCTCAAAGACACAAGTACGTATAGTACAAGTATTTAGCTTATAGTAATTCAGCAACAATCTTTTTTTAAACTCCACAAAAAAAAATGCGAACAGCTACTGTATATTAATACTGAACCCACAACACAGGGGTCAGAGGTTGTTGCAGTTCAACCTCAGTTGTCTTAAGCAAAGGCTACGGGTGATCACATTTCAATACGCGTAGCAAAATTGACTGCAATGTTTTCCCCATTACTTTAGGTTAAAGGGAAAGAAACGGATTCATAGAAAAAAGCCTTACGTCTGCGCTGGACTTCAACCAGGTTCGGTGGAATTAGCAGGTTGGATGGCAGCGCACTTTCTCCCGCAAACGTTGAAGATAACTGGGATAACAAAATTAAACAACAGCAGTGACTAACGTTACCTTTCTATTAAATGATTCCCGTTATGAGTGGTATACCAGTGTGCCATGTGCAACTCGTTGCCGAATCTAGACACCCCGGGTTTTTGCAACTGCGACAAAAACTTACCCGTTTACCAAGTGCGAGGCAGCAAACATTCAGCCCGCTCCGGAACATGTTCATCATTTTTACTAACAAGACATATACCTGCCTTACAATTTTGACTGTCACGCCATTGAGGTCACCTCACTTCGTCGATTAGAGATGATGTTTGAGTTAAATATTCTTGTCTCGAATATGACTTCCGCCACCTAGTGGCAAGGGGGTATCACATGCATCACTAATACACGACTCTATCCTGACATTAAGGGAGCAATTCACTCCAAGACTGAAATCATATGCTTTAGTGGGAATTTAGTGAACTGCGCCTTTAAGCCTTATGTCTAAAATGAAATGCATTTGACATAAAATGAAATATAACGATGGTTTGTTTGCAATTTGTAGAAGTACGTGAACAGTACCTCCCTTATTTGTTAGTAAATTGATTCACAATGTACGGTGGGACATAATGGACACTTCACAATAGCACCATTTTCCGTTGGAAGGGTACTCTTAGGGACAATTTAGGCCATTTTATGGGCACCATATCACATTTTCTTCTTTTCTTACATAAGGGGACTCATTAAAACATTTAATCACATATTCTGTTGTTATATAGGGCACATCGTCATACTGTATTATCCTATAATGAAGAGGGCACGCCAGACGTAAATAGCTGCCAAAAGTTCCATTGTCGCCACTCTAAAGGACACTTTACTTACATTTTTTTTTCAGCCACAGAAGCACCATTCTAGCTCCTCTCCAAGTCGACCAGTGCATACCAAATTCATCAGGTATTTGACCCAATCTGAATTTTAAATTCAAATATATTATCCCGATTTGTTTCTAGATTTACAATTATATCAACATGGTTTTACGTCGTTTCACCATGTACGGCTCAATTAATGATTTTATTAATTAGTTTAAATTTAATTCAATTCCAGTTAATAATTTAATTAATAAATTAGACATGCATTACGAATGTAAATTATACATACATACATAAATGATACATAGAATACAGATACATATCAACATTAACAAGCCTCCATAGATGGGGTAGTGCCTATATATCTGAGGTACTCAAATGTTGCTGAACAGTACGTAGCATTGTAAAAGACGACTCAGACGAGTCATATGAGTGTACGTGTGTGAGGAGTTATGAGAGCTCAGTTTGAGGGGGAGGAGTGCGAAACAGTGGTGAATGTTTCCAAACGTCATTCGCATTGAAGCTCAGCGTCTCTTGGAGTAAGCACGCCATTTTGGCGCACCAAGGAGTACGCGTCGGGACTTTTATTTTGAAAATGAAATAGTAGCGTCAACCGGAAGTTCCTATCTTCAATTTGGGTAGCGTTTAGCTTTGCACTCCTCCGTTGGGGAGTTCTCTTGCGTTGTAAGGCTTTGTATGTTCTTTCTTTAAACAATTTATATAGATTTTGTTTTTTACTTTATCTGTATTTTGTAATATGGGGTTGCTGTATATATAACTTACGATCCCGTTTATTAATAGAAATCGTTATCAACTCCGCAAACTACCTCGATTCATCGATATGCTAGCTGGCTAAGTAACTAACATTCATTTTAAGCAATATGTTATTTACTTGCATTTCTTGGGTACGATGGGGAGAACTACATTGTTAGTTAATTAGTCTATTCGTATATTAGCTATAAAATTATGTTGCTTGTTTTTTTGTAATGTTGGCCTTCAGTCAGGTTCTTGTACTAACAAATAACGTTACTCCCTTTTCCCTGATGTAAAGTAGGACCTGCACAGTCGTCCAACACTGAATGTTTATATGATTTCAGCGATCTGACCATTACTTTGTCTTTTAATCAAAGGTTAGCAAACGTCTGGCGTGTATTTTGAACAATGCATAGTTTTTCCTAAGTTTATAGTATATTTCTAATGTCATTTAGTGATCCCTTCTTTGGTATTCAATTGTTTCGTTCCTAGCCTGACAGAAGAAATGTCTGGTATGGGAGGAGGAAAGAGGACAGCCGGACTTGGAGGGGACAGCCCCCCTGGACCGGTGGAAAAGAAGGGGAAAAAAGAAGAGAAAACCACCACCACGTTGATTGAACCTATTCGCATAGGTGGTGTGTCCTCTACGGTCAGTTTGTCATCATTTATTAATCCCACTTGTTTTTGTCCTCCGTATTTAAAATGTTCTCTGTACCAATGTCTTCCAGCACAGTCCTGAAGGACCACCAGACAGTCCACGTGTTTGCTGCCTCTCAGATTCTGGGAGTTGGGAGGTAGCAAAATATGGACTGTTTGGGAGTCCCCAAAGACTGTTGTGGGACACACTGCAATATACTTAGAAGCACCAGGCAGTCTTTTGGCTCAGTTGGCAGCACTGTAGCCTCACACCTCCAAGGTGTCGTGAGTTTTCATGAGTTTTACTATGAGGAAGGGTTAAATATGGCTTGAAGCTGCTGTGCAGACTTAGAGACATCTGAAAAAGACTATACAGCCAACCCTTCCATGTCGCAGGGGCTAGAGGTGCAGGCCACCCGCAACATGGAAAAACTTCATAAACGTTTTGGTCCCTTTGGTGAGCGAAGCAAAGCAAGATCACTGTGGGATATCAGTGAGAAGCTGCTGTAAATGCGCTTGACGTCCTCCAAACTAGCACTTAGGGCTACACAATATCACATCACGATGTATTCACAATTATATGTTGTATGCTCAATAATCACCAGGGCTTTAGATGAGGGGCAAAACATTTGTCTGGATGCTGGTTTTTCGGTACTTTACAGATATTTACTTACACCCACAATTTGGTAAGCAGATTAGTAGTATGCATGAAATATTAATAAGATGCATTTTGAGACACCAGTAATCTGCATAAATCCGTCATACCTGTTGTGGTAAAATCTCGGAAGCAATAAACATTGAAGTGGCAGTGAAAAAAGGGACAGCTCAGCAGCCGTAACCTCTTTTGCAAACATTGGTGTTGTGGCGGTACTTTTTGTAGCTTAAAATCTTACATGTTTATTAAACATAAGGATATGCTGAAATTATACAAATTACTAATGTTTTAGGTGCACTACTAATCTGCTTATCAAATTGTGGGCATAAGTACGTCCATTTCGTACCCATAAGTTGTCGTCTGGACAAATGTTTCGCCCGTTATCTAAAGCCCTTGTGATTATTACACATGCACATGTAATTGTGAGTACATCGCGATGTGATATGATGCAGCTCTACTAGCACTGTACATATATTTTATGCATTTATGAGTTACTAAACTTGGTATGTGTCTTCTGCAGTTTTGCAAAACTCATGCTCTTATGCTGAAATATTGAAACTGTGCAGGGGAAATTCATGATGCAGAAGGGTCGAATGTAGTGATATGATGCTTGTTTTTTCCTGGTGAATCTGTCGTACAGGAGGAGATGGACATGAAAGTGTTGCAGTTTAAAAACAAAAAGCTGTGTGAGCGCCTGGAGCAAAGGCAGGCCATGGAAGATGAACTGCGTGAGCGCATCGAGAAGCTGGAGAAGCGGCAGGCCACTGACGATGCCACCCTGCTCATCGTCAACCGCTACTGGAGCCAGGTGCAGTGCGGATCTTTAACTGGGTCTTTAACTGGGTCTTTGGGCAGTGGTGGCCTAATGGTTAGGGATTCGCACTTGTAATTGAAAGATCGTGGGTTCGAATCCCCGACCAGTAAAGTACCACTGAGGTACTCTGAGCAAGGTGCTGCCCCAAAGCACTGCTCCCAGGGCACTGAATTATAGATGCCCCCTGCTATGTCACGATGTCACATATGGGTTAAATGCAGAGGATACATTTCGTTGTTGTTTGCTGTGCTGTGTCCACAATGATCACTGATCACCAAATTCTAAATTCACTGTCACTTTCAATGTCATGTGAACTGTCATAAAATTCTGTCACTGTACCGAAGCTTTTCCAGTACTGCTTACATGAGTACGTTCTCTATAAATTCCCTGGCCCACTTGATGTGGTGGGCCGGGGCACGGTCTGGGTACGTATCGAGTGTGATGGCTAACTGTTCCCGGGTATGCAACACAGACATGACAACAATAATGCGACTGACACACGCATGTGCACATGTACAATTCACATGCACTGATCGCAGTACGAGGAGCGTAAGAGAAGACGTGACGATCTGGGAGTATTTCACGCTTTTAACAGACACCAGTAGCACAGCGATTTGCAATCTTTGTAAAATAAAGTTTTGAGCGGTGGGAATAGCGTTTAATGGACAGTCCAACTTGATAAAGCGCACGCAACTGCGAGACAAAAAAAAGCAATGGATGATTTGGGAGTCATTAACCTGGACTGTCTCACTGCAGCTTGTGATCCCCCTGATTGTCATGCACTCCTGCCTTATTGTTATTAAAAATGCACACGAGAGGGGTGGAGCATTTAAGGACAGCATTGGGGGCTAGGGGGCGGGAGTGGGATTACAGTGGATGCGATTTATTATATGAATTTTGAGAGGGCGCTGCACCGATGAATGAGAGAAATCATGCGAGCACGCAAAACTATAAAATGTATTTATTTCATGATGAAGCTCATCGCCGTTACTCTCCGCTATAAAATAAATAGCGTACAGATATATGTGCCCATAAAGGTTACAGCAGTTTCTTCTGCTTTCTTCCATTCATCTGCTCAATAAACACAAAAACTTCCCGCTCAGTGCATTAAGCTTGATTATCTAACTGTTTAAAACACAGCATAGCATAATAACCTGTAGGTATAGATGCTAGTTTGATGATGTTAACGTAGCCTGTTTGCTATATTGTAAGATCTTGCTATGTTATAAGATCTCTTTCATATAATCTCTGACTTGTAGCTAAGGAGATCAAATTGCTGACATTATTATAGCCTTGCATCTTTTTTATGCAGTGCAGTTAGAGCAGAGAAATAAAATGTACTAGTTTTCTGGTACTGTGTGCTGTACTTGTGCATGATATGAGGCAACCAGGCCAAGTGTGAGTACGGCCTAAGTCACATTTATGAAGTGTGGCATAGATACTACTTGAAGCCTGACTGTGCATTGTGTACTTACATCACGCAAGGCAAGGTTGTCGTTAATGGAAATTTTCCTCATTCTCCTTACAGTTGGATGAAAGCGGCCAGGTCATGCTCCACCGCTACGATACAGAGGTGAAGGCAGAGCCTGCTCCTGTCCCGAGTCCAGAGAAAATGGAGAGTGAAGAGGTCCAGGAAAAGCTTCTGGAGGAGGAAGAGGAGCAGCGGCCCGAGGAATCCAGCAAGGAGCCTGAGGTGCTGGCAGCTTGTGGTGGTGGTAAGAACGATCTCACTGTCCCTTGTCTGAGTGGTGGGGGTGCTGGCAGTGAAATCCAGCCATGAAGTCCACGACCAATGTGTCACGTGGCCGTGGCAGTGAGACTCCTGCTTCTCCCTCACCACCTCCTCCTTACCCCCAGACCACGCGTGCCCACCCACCCCCCTCAGTGACAAGGCCAAGAACTTCCTGTGCGCTCTCGGCAGCAGCAGTGAAGAGGAGGTCAGCCTGCAGCTGCAGGATCGCATGCAATTCAGCAAGGAGGCCGTGGCCCGCATGGTCTGCGCTTTCGACCGGCTGCACCAGCGCATCGAGAGCCTGTGTGCCCGGGTGCAGGCTGCAGGTAATTCAACGCCATGGGCGCTCATCTCCGTCGCCATAGGCTACCTGCTACATGCTGGGCCCTGTTACTCTGAGCTGCCACACTACATTATCAGTGGTGATTTTTTATACAAACTGTCTGCTCACACTCCTCTCTTCTGCCATGTAAAGCACAGAGAGAAATCCTTTTCTGATGAGCTGTCTGACCGGAAATGTGTATGTGTGTCTTTCCCCGTCAGTGTGTGAGGATGATCATCAGAGGGATGTCCTGACTCTGAGCCGTACCCTACTGCAAGAAAACAGCCAGTTACAAGACTTGGCCTCTTCCCTGCAGGGGAGACACCATCGTATGTCCCTGGAGGTACTGTCATTCATTCATTCATTCATTCATTCACTGATTGAGTCTGTGCATTCCGCTCTCTCTTGGTGGCCCTTTAAAAGCAAACTTATACTTCACTTTTTCATATGCCGTTACAGCCCATGCTCAGGGTGCCGTAAACTTCATCTGCGGTGTCTGCGTCGACTGTGCGCATGCAGCCCAGATTTTATGTCTCGTGGACGTTTTGCTCGTCAGTACATGTAAATGGCAAATGTGACTTAGTGTTTCCAATAGGTGGCAACATTGACGTTCACTGAGCGGTAGTCAAAGGAAAATGAGTAGATGAAGAAGAGTGCTTGTAGTTGTAGTTATGGTGAGCAGCTATATGCGGAAGTGCAGAGATACCAACTTATATACTGAAGGAGCACAAAGATGTATTCTGGTGCATGAATTCATAAAACTACCCTAACACTGGACAAAGAAGAGAATGTCTGCAGGCAGTGATAGAAATGTATAGTTTGATATGTCATATATAAAGTGCATGTACAATGCTGTTGCATATAAGCTTGTTTGGACTATGCACTTGATTGCATTATTATTTTATCAGTAATGCATTCTAAGCTTTCAGTCCATGCTGCTAATAATACTAACATTTACACCATATGTTAGGTGTTTGTTACATTGGTTAGGCATTTTTGCTTGTTTAAGGCTTTGGTTTGAAGGAACGTAGGGAAAAAGAGGAAATGTATGTCTTAATTCTTAAAAATAATAGGCTTATGGGTCATTCTCACAAACTCATAACTGTAACATATCAGTTTTCTCTAAGTTTTATCATTAGTTTGATAGACTTATTGTCTAATGCCGATCTTGCTTCTTATAGTTAGAGTAAAACAATTGACATTACAAGAGATTAAAGGAATGAACTTACTATAATAAAATGTAATTCTCTGTCATGGGTTACTTGCAGTAAAATTGAAAGATTTAAAAACATTTTACTAGTTTCGTAAAATTTGATTTTAAAATTTTCATGGTAGTGCATGTTTGGAGAAAAAAGTTCAGAGATTACATCAAAGCTATAAATGACAATTTTAATATACCTGATGAGGTATTGTCAGTTGCACTGCACAAAATTCAAATACTGTTTCATTGTAACGTTTCGTTTTTTGTCAAAAGATTAACATATTATACTGACCAAATATAAGTATACTAGGCTACGGGCATGCTTTCATTTTCAAAATAAAAGGGTTTCTGCAGATTTAAATTAGGTTCACAATGTAAATGAAACATGTTGCTAGTTGCCGTAATCATCGAGGGTGTGACCCCTTTTCTTGCTTGATGAATGAAAGCGCTTCTGATGGGAGAATAGAGCCATAAATGAATAGGTGGTGGTTCAGAGTTACTTGTCACAACTTGGACTCTCAGCTTTCAGGTAAAAACAGATTTACTGGTTTAAACATGTCGAGTTGGCCCATCCAGTATTTCAAGTTTATGAAGTTTTTACGTTTTGGGTTATTCAGCCTGTTTTAATATTCATATATTCAAGACATGAATATAGCCTAATTGCTGGCATGCCATAAAAATCTGCATAACTTAACTGATTGACAGTGTGAGTGGTTTGAATATCTGCAGCTGAATGTTTTTCACACTTGTTTCTTTCGGTCAGTATAATGAACTGGTGGACAAGGTGACAAGCTCAGAGACCAAGGTGTCAGAGATGGAGACGGCCGTGGAGGACTTGCAGTGGGATATAGAAAAACTTCGAAAGAGAGAGCAGAAGCTCAACAAGCACTTGGCTGAAGCTCTGGAGCAGGTTTGATCTTCAACTTCCGATGTCTTTTCCAGGTTTCTTTTCTGGACGCCTGGTTCCACCTCTGATTCCCCCTTCCGCTCTAGTTGGTTCATTCTTTGCCTTAATATGTCTCTCATCAGTGTTTGTCTTTTATCCTTAAGCCTTTTGCCTGGCTCCTACTACTTGTATTGCTCCTTAGTTCTCACTGCCCAAAGACCATGAAGCTTTTTTGGATAATAGCACTTGTGAAAGTGTGGCTCATTGATGCAGATCTTTCTGCATGTGCTCATGTTCTCATGGTGCGTTCCATTTGCCCTCGGAACTAAAGTCGATTCTGAGTTGGATTCCTAGTTTTGAACCCGGAAGTGACGACATGCGCGCTCCTGTTTCTCGGAGATCCGAGAGATATCTCGGAGCAGCACAGAGGATCCCGAGTTCAGAATCCAAGATGGATTTGATGAAGGGCAGCGTGTGGCTCAGTTGGCTAAGCCTGTGTGCCTGTAATCACAAGGTCGCCGGTTCAAACCCAGCCTCAGCACGTCTGCGGGTCCTTGAGCAAGACCCTTAACCCCCAGCTCCCTGGGCGCTGCTACGGGTGGCTGCCCTTCGCGGACAGCTTACTCTACAAAGAGCAAGTTGAGGGAGGCGTAAAAACAATTTCCCCACGGGGATCAATAAAGTATCAATTATTATTACTATTATTATTATTATTATTATCACCAAAAGTAAAAGCTGTAGTTTTATACTGTTTATACAATACTTCTCATTTGTGGCTCATTAAATCGGTCACACACACTATACCGTCCAACTTATCTGTGGACGTGTTGCTACGGAGTTTTATACGTAAAGAACCGCGCGTAATGTGTTATCAACTGATATTGCTAACAATGGCTATTAACCGGGCTAGAATTGGATTTCATGATTAGTCAGATTATTTGTCAGATTTAAGGTAGTTTGGGCTATTTGCAAGTGAACGAAGATAAAGGCCATTTAAACTGAGGTACCTTAAGTCTGACGAGTTATCCAGCTAAGCAAAAAATCCTGCTTTCGGATATGGGTCCATGGTATTGCACTTCTGTGGCAAATGGAACGCATCCGATTCGGTTTTCCCCGAGTTTTTAACCGATGTGACGCACCATCAATCTCTTCACATGTTTCAGCTGAACTCTGGATACAGCTACTCCGGGAGCTCAAGAGGACTTCCAGGTGGACAGATAACGCTCAACATTCAGAAGGTGAGCACTGGCCAGACCTAGTGCTTTATGTAGTTTACAGGCATGTAGTAAGTGTTAACGTTTACTCTATACCAAGGTTTCTCAACCCAGTCCTCGGGGACCACCAGACGGTCCACGTTTTTGCTCTCTCCCAATTGGCAGGGAATTGGGAGAGAGCAAAAACATGGACCGTCTGGTGGTCCCCGAGGACCGGGTTGAGAAACCCTGCTCTATACCTCTCGTGTGTGTGGCGGAAACTTGTGCACAGCCAGTAAATGTTGGGAAATGTCTTTTTTTCAGTTTGAGCTCTTGAATGCAGAGCTTGAACAAAACCAGGAACTAGCTAACAACCGTATGGCAGAGCTGGAGAAACTCCAGCAGGAGCTGCAGGAGGCCGTCAGAGAAAGCGAAAAACTCAAGGTATCGATGTTGCATCATAGCCAAGCATGTGCTTCAGTGCTCTGATTCACATGTGCAGTGCTGATGGGTGCATGAGGCATTTTGAGGGTGGGATTTAACATATATACGCAGGCACCAGCCTAAGGAGAAATGCAGTCTCTTGACTACCCCCCCCACCCCTAAATCCCAGATGGACCTGCGGAACATCCCAGAGGAGGTGGTCAAGGAGACCCCAGAGTATAAGTGCCTCCAGTCGCAGTTCTCGCTGCTCTACAACGAGTCCCTGGGGGTGAAAACGCAGCTGGATGAGGCCCGGGCCCTGCTGCTGACTGCCAAGAACGCACACCTGCGACAGATAGAGCACATGGAGGTGGGTGGGGGGGGACACACTCTACAGGTTACTGTGTTACTGTACTACAATTAGCTGAAAGGGCCCTATACAGGTTACTGTGTTACTGTACTACAATTAGCTGAAAGGGCCCTATACAGGTTACTGTGTTACTGTACTATGCTCAGCTGAATGGGCTCTGTACAGGTTACTGCGTTACTGTATTATGCTCAGTTGAAAGCGCCCTGTACAGGTTACTGCCATTTTGTACTGTGCTTATCTGAAAGGGCCCTGTACAGGGTTCTGTGTTACTGTACTATGCTCTGCTGAAAGGGCTCTTGCCTTACTGTACTGCATTTATGTGAAAGGTCTCTATGGGTTAATGCATTTCTGTACTACAACTTAGCTGAAAGGGGCTTGTACAGGTTACATGGTACTTTACTATGCTCTGCTGAAACTCTGCTCTGCTGTGATGTTTGTTGGTATAACTAACAAGTAGGGCTATCATGATCACATCACAGTATAATCGCGATTATATGGCACCTGTGCAGTAATTTAGATGATGGGTGACACATTTGTCAGGATGCCGGATTTTCAGTACTATATGGACTTCTACTTATGCCGACAATTTGGTAAGCAGATTCGTAGTGCATCTAAAATATTAATGAGGTCTATATCGTGACACCCAAAAGTCAGTAGTCTGTATAAATTCGACGTAGCCCAGGTGATTATTGCGCATGTGTCATAATTGCAATTACATTACAATGTGATCACAACAGCCCTACTAACAAGCATGTGAACCTAGACAGGGCAGTCATGCATGGTTATTAAATCATAGAATTAATGGGTTTAATTCTAAATGACTGGTCTTCTATTGTCTGCCTTTCATGTAAAGATCTCTTTAGTAGTAGATCTTTTAGCGTGCACAGCGTTGTGCTGTGATGTGTGCTTCTGCAGGTTTAGTTGCTCTCTTCTCTCCAGAGTGATGAGCTCTCCCTGCAGAAGAAGCTGCGTACCGAGGTCATCCAGCTGGAGGACACGTTGGCCCAGGTCCGCAAGGAGTACGAGATGCTCAGGATTGAATTTGAGCAGAACCTAGCAGCCAATGAGCAAGCAGGTATTTCTGGTTCTCTTCAGTTACACAGAGCTCTTTTTATGCCTGTATTTATCCGGCGTGAACACACCCCCCACTATCTGCAGCTCATTCTCCAGTAATAAATCTCCATTCTATTCTATTCTATTTATATAGCGCTTTTAACAACAGTCATTGTCACAAAGCACTTCACATATAACCAGCCCGAACCCCCACCTTACAGCGGTAAGGAAAAACTCCCTCTAGCAGGAGGAAACCTTGAGAGGAACCTAGATTCGGAAGGGGACCCCATCCTCCTCTGGGCGACCGGGGAGCATGAAATTGTATTGACATTGACATTAATTCCAGTCCATAGAGTTTTAAAAGTCCCATTTGGTTCCATGTAATTATCTCCAAGGAGTCCAGGTGAGGGTTCAGGTGGTGTAGTGTCAGCTCTGGATCAGCTTGGAGAAGAGAGTTAGTGCCCTTCACCTAACCTAACCTCCAGCAGTACTAAAGTGACTATGGCAGCCTGGCTAAAAGAGACCTGGAAGGAAGCACATACGTGAGGGTTTCCAGGGGTTTTGGCGTCAAGTCAACTTACTGTCAACAGCTTAAGTCATCAGCGAGAGTGACAGGACAACAGCATCAATCCCCCCATTCACCTTTAATCTCAAATGACCATGAACCTCCAGATTTCCCATTCACCTTATAAAAGGGGATTTTAATATCTAAAAGACTGACTAAAGAGGTAAGGCTTAAGCCTTGACTTAAAAGCAGAGATTGTTTCTGAGTTCCGAACACTAATAGGAAGTTTATTCCATAACTGTGGTGCTTTATGAGCAAATGCTCTTCCCCCAAAAGTAACGTTCTTTATTCTGGGTATGAATAGAAGACCTGCATCTTGCGATTGAAGCGTACGAGTCGAAATGTAATTGCAGATGAGGTCACTCACATTCTGCGGTGCAAGACCATTTACAGCTTTATAAGTTAAGAGCAGTATTTTGTAGTCAACACGAAATCTGACAGCCTGTGGAGTGAAGATAAAATTGGGGTAATATCATATTTTTTAGTTTTGGGAAGGACTCTGGCTGCCGCATTTTGAACTAGTTGGAGTTTATTTAATGACCTACTTGGACAGCCGGAGAATAAGACATTACAGTTATTGAGCTTGGAGGTAATAAACGCAAGAACCAATTTCTCTGCATCTTGAAAGGATAGCATGTTTCTTAATTTGGCAATATTACGCAGGTATAGGAAGGCAGCATTTCACCATTTTTTAATTTCAATTAGCTGAGATAGATACTCTGATTTGCCGGCACTAAGAGCCTTTTTATAGCTACCCATAGCCTTTTTCCATGCTAGTTTGAACACCACTAGATTATTTTGATGCCACTTACATTCTGATTTCCGTGTCTCCAGTTATTTACTAAGTCTGAGCATTTGGAGCCTGAAGGTGGAGTGGTGTGTAGCCTGCCGGGCTTCTCATCTGTGCCTATATCCAGAAGGTCATGAGTTCGAATTCTGTGGTTGGCAGAGTAATCATATCACCCTTGGTGCTGGATGCTGGCTGAGCCTGCCCTCTGACCCCAAGCTCCTGACTGACGCTGAACTGATGTTGCTTTGGACAAAAGTAGCTGTTAAACAAGCAAATGAAATGTATAAGTATTTAATTTAGTAGTAGGAGTGGTAATTTGAGCTAAGCATCATAGTGAATTCAGTATTTTATACTGTCCAGTTAATCTGGAATGGCCATTAATGGACATTGCCTGTCCATTAATGGCCATTCATACACAGACTGCAATACATAAAGAACACCTTGTAGCTCCCAGTTTACGTATTTGGCATCTCTCTGCACTGTGGGAGGAGGAACTCCTCAAAAATAATGGAAGACTATTCGGACTGACCTAAAAACTGTATCTGGATTCCTTGTTCACACCTGGACTTGTCCTTGGCATTAGTGCTGCTGTGCCGGGCAGCTTACACTGTATGTATGTGAACGGTTTGGCAGGACCGATCAACAGAGAGATGCGGCACCTCATCAGCAGCCTTCAGAACCATAACCACCAGCTGAAGGGAGACCTGCAGCGCTACAAGAGAAAGCTTCGGGAAACCCAGGCCGAGATCAACAAGGTCTGCAGCCTTACCTGTGGTCCTGTCCCAGCATGCATTTCTGTTGTTTTGTTTATATACTGTGTGTGTCTCCTGTTTCGAACCCTGTTGGTGATATGTAATCCCTGTCTGTCTGTACAGCTGCGCTGTCAGAGTGGGGAGGTGGGAGTCTTAGTTTTGGAAGATGCCGGGAATGACGGAGGGGTGGATGTGAAGAAAGAGGAGGATGACGAACAGGAGGAGGAAGAGGAGCGGAGGAGAGAGCTAGAGAGGCAGCGAGCCCGGGAGAGGGAGAGGGAGGCAGAAAGGGAGCGAGAACGTGAACGGGAGCAGAGGGAGAAGCTGAGGAGCGAGGAGCTGAAGAGGAAGGACTGCGACACGCTGAAGATGCTCAGGGCCGAGCTCAAGTGAGTGTGCCTGAAAGCCTGGGGTTTCCCGGGTACTGCTGGGTATGAGGTCACAGCCTGAATCATGTGAGTATGGCTGAGAGTTCAGGGTTTCCCAAGTACTGCTGGGTATGAGGTCCCAGCCTGAATCATGTGAGTATGGCTGAGTGCCTAGAGTTATCCGAGTACTGCTTGAGTCACATGGTCCCTGTCCTGCTGGATGGCTGGTGATTCCCTCTACAAAAACAGACTGAAGGTTTTACTGGAGTTCAGGCTGGAGAAGCTGCCACTTTCTCGTCAATTTTTTACTCCAAACTACAGAAATCAACTGCAGGTGATCCCATCGATTATTTGGCACAGATAACATTTTCTGCAGCACCTCTCTCTTCAGCATACAGCTTTAGCTGTAGAGCCATCTATATTGCTTTACATCTACCATGCCAAAAGATCGAATGTGAATTAAATTTTTAGTAGATGGTTTGAGTAAATGACATTTTGTTGGGCTGTGGGTTGACATGCTTCATTCCTGAATTGAAGCAATTGAGTGTTTGTCTGATGATAATTTGACGATTTTTTTGTTTATGACTAAGGTATGAAATACAGTTGACACTTCCACATTGCGGGGGTTAGGTGCACAGGCCCCCCACTATCTGCAAAAAACACGTAAAAATTTTTTGGTCCCCTTGGCGAGTGGTGCAAAAATATATGAGGAACAAAATACAAAGATGACTGCAGGGTCACAGCAAGATGCGCATATCACATGAGAGGGTGTTGTAAACGTGCTTGGTGTCCTCCAAACCAGCACTGTACGTATATTTTATGCATTTATGAATTACTACACATTATATGTGTCATCTTGGCTTTCACAAAACTCCCAAAAAATCCCTTTCAATTTCTTATGCCAACCACGTAATATATCAAAACTGTGATGGGAAAAGTTACGATGCAGAAGGGTCGACTATATAACTCGGAAAAAACAGGTTCAGCTTGTAATGAATATGACATCATGGTGTTGGTGAAATCAATTACAAATACTCTTAATCACTCTGTGAGGTAGGTTGTCACGATCATGAAATTTTAGTTCATGATTGTCATACAAATAATTGCGATTAACTGTCTTTCTGCTCATTTTATAGCACTGTTAGCCTAATAATAGTTTAATAATACATATACACCATATGAATTGAATATTGATTATTGGAACATATAAATAAAATTGCGTTTTTGTTTGCCTTTTATGCTTTGTAAACAAATATTGTATAGGGTGGATATGACATTAACACGATTTTAAACGCCTGGAGATAAACAGTTGTTGTCACTACCCGATCCGTACCACCTACTCAATTTTGCCTCACACATCAGCAGTGTCCAATCCGTTCATCCAGCCATTTTATGGCAAACCATGTTGACCACATTTACAGCGAAGCCAGATACTGCCAACTCTGTTGTCTGTTTGAGTATTGGATTGCTTAGCTTTTTTTTTTTTTTTTTTTTTTGTCACTGAGTGAAAATTAGTAATTAGAGGACTGATTGGATGAGGAGTCCTCATACCTGGGTATGAACAGCTGACTGAAGGTTATCCCAAAAACTTGCATACACATTAGCCGTTTGAGGATAAGGTTGCATACCCCTGCTCCATATTAATGGTTATTAAAATCATTATCCTATTATCCTGTTTTTGTTTGAACTGGAAAATGGGAATCTTGCTACTGAAAGACACAATATTAACTGCTTCATTAAAATTTATTTGGGGTTCAGCTGAGACATTCTTCAGTTTCTAACCCACAGGTAGCTGAGTATCTATTGAGCTACCAGACCTTGCCATAACCCTACCGTTTCATAAGCGTCCATGTGTAATTCTTGGTGTTTGGTCCTTAAGGCACTTTAACTTCTTTGGAAGCTACAGATCTGTGCAAAGGCAGTCAAGGAAAATGTTTAGACCTATTTATCTAGGTAGGTAGTGTGTATTTGCACAAAAAAAAAACACAATTTAACATTAGAATGTATCACAAGAGTATCAACGAACTAGAATTTCTTCTGTTCTCCAAAAAAGTTACTGATATCTTATTGGATGGCTAGAAGAACACCGCCTCAGTTCCCACACCTCTCCTCAGGGGCACCTCAGCCATTCCATGCATCATTATATTTCACAACCGGTTCAATTAATAAATTTATTCAGTTAACAAAAAGTCAGTGAGGACAGGATTAGCCATATGTGGTGCATTATTGGTTGACTCAGAAATATATATGGAAGTATTGGACGGTTGCTTCAAATACAGGGGTGGCTTTAAGAGATGAGAACATGCTTTGATAGACATAATATAGTTTTACACCAAAATGAAGATCACAACTATTATTTTCCTTGACTGTCGAAGACTTTTGCATATCTCAAGTTGGCATCAAAGTCACAGGTTAACATTAACCTGAATCTCAGAAATTGCAGCATCACCCATCCATTTTCAGGATCGGTTCTCCTAAGGTAACCAACACCTGCTGTGTTGTGTCTAATTTCCTCACTCAGGAAAGCCCAGGAATCCCAGAAAGAGATGAAGCTTTTACTGGACATGTACAAATCAGCCCCAAAAGAGCAGAGAGACAAAGTGCAGCTCATGGCAGCTGAGCGCAAGTCCAAAGCTGAGGTTTGTCCTGAAGCACTTTCAGAAAGAACATATTTTAACTTTTAATACTAATAGAATGATGGGGAAGTACATCAGTGACTAATGTAACATTATCTACTGATAAATGCAGTACTGGATCTTTGAATGTGTTCACTTACCTTCTGGGTCTAGGTGGAGGAGCTGAGGGTACGAGTGCGAGAGCTTGAAGAAAGAGAAAGGAAAGAGAGCAAGAAGCTGGCCGACGAGGATGTTCTGAGGAAGATCCGTGTGGCTGAGGAAACCATTGAGCATTTGCAGAAGAAACTTATAGCAACAAAACAGGTACAGAATACAGGTCTTCATCAGCTTACGTCCTGGATTCATCCCAGAAGTGAGGACATCAGTCAGTCTGGATGTATCTCAATCATTATAGGGGAGAGGTCAAATGTACTGTATAATGCAAGATACAATATCACACGTACTTAACTAAAATTGTGCAGTGTCAGTGCAGTTGGTTTGTTTTGGTTCTTGCCGCATGCTACACGTGGTAAAATCTTTTCAACCTCTCTCTGCCTATAAAGAATGTGTCTTATGGTATACTGTGGTGGGTTTTTGCTGCAGCAAGTTTTAATCACTAAAGGTAAAAAAAAAACTGACATAGGTAGGAACTCAAGTTACATGACTCACACCCTGACGTGGACTCGAGTTACAAATTTGATGACTTGTGACTTGACAGCAAAAATGATTGAAAGACTTGGACTTGATTGATGGCAATGGACTCGTGACTACACTCGGACTGTAATATTTTGATTCAAGATTAGACTCTAACTCGCCAAGAAATCACTTGTTCCCATCCTTGCCAGATACACTTCTATTAAGTGCTATAAAGAAAACCACAGTCTGGGTGACTGTCAGGGCATGCATGAAGAAATATTAATAGGAATCAATAGGTTTCATAGCACCTTTAAATTAGTGACAAGAGTCCAAGCCATAGCCAGACATGCCATAGAGATGGCTCCTCTCTTAATGATGGAGAATGAAGCAATCATCAGTCAGCAGTTTGACCAGTGTCGCTCCCCCCTTGTTCTGACCAGGAGGAGGAAGCTTTGCTTAGCGAGATGGACGTCACAGGTCAGGCTTTTGAGGACATGCAGGAGCAGAACAGCCGACTGATGCAGCAACTGAGAGAGAAGGATGATGCCAACTTCAAGCTGATGAGCGAGCGCATCAAGTCCAACCAGATATACAAGCTGCTGAGGGAGGAGAAGGAGGAGCTGGCCGACCAAGTGCTGACGCTGAAGACGCAGGTCTGTCACTGCACTCAGCCGACGGGGAAGCTGCTTCTGCACGTGGCACTAAAGCCAGCAGTTGGTGCATTCACACAGCATTCAGAAAATGCACGTCTGTTTCGTTCTTGCTCCATCGCAGGTTGACGCGCAGTTGCTGGTGGTGCAGAAGCTGGAGGAGAAGGAGGGGGTGCTTCAGAGCTCTCTGGCTACTCTGGAGAAGGAGCTTGGTATCCGCACGCAGGCACTGGAGCTCAACAAGAGGAAGGTGAGAACAACCTGAACATCATGTTTTGCAGGTTTGGCTCATATATAGGGTTGGGAATCTAAAATAAATTTCAAATCTGGAATCGGATACTTAAGGTGAGGAATTTAATAAAAATTAAAATTTCAGTTCCGCTTATCAATTCCTATGTGTGCATTTTCAATTAGCCTGTATCTTTTATTACATGTCAGGGCTTGAAATTCAATGTGGGATTGCAGGTATCACAATTTGATTTATTCCTGCACAATCTGTTATCATAATGCAGGAATTTTCCGCTGTCTTAATATAAGGTGTGGAACACGAGGAAATTCCAAAAGTAAATATAAGCTCAGAAAACAGAGCCAGCAGCTGTGCTGCTTATAATATGCAGAACTGCCCATGCTATTGGCCATCAGTATGCCACAGTAGCCAGAGTGGCTGATCAAGAGGTTCAGAAAAATTCCTGGTAGGCTGCCAGGACTGGAAATGCGTAGAGAAACACTAGTCACTGCAGTTTGGACCACTGTACAGTAAACTGCATTGTCAACAAGGCATCTTTATTCCTGCAATATCACAAAACCAGTTTAAATCCTAAGAGTGGTCCTCCCCTGATATCAGTTACATCTTGGGTTAGTGTTGGAACTGATGAGAAGTTGATTTAATATCGGATTTTTATGACTATTAGATATTTTCCCCAAATCGTTCAGCCCTACTTTGCACTGTATTTTTTTGTGTTTCACTATCTAGCCTTTTTTTGACAAGGTGTGGATGGGTGGGGCTTTGTCAGGGTGTCTGTCTACCCAATCTGTACCACCAGCCTTTCTATCTCTAATGTCTTTACAGCAAACCATATTGTCTAAATTTACAATAAATAAAATTGACAAAAATACATTACCAAGCCATTTCATATGTAAAAATGTAATATAACATAAAAATTTGATATTTCATCTAGCCCAACTGCTTGTATGCCTGATCAGGAGCAAACACATTTTGAGGGGGTTTACACCTGTCATTCTACTGTGTGCTGATACAGTCCTTATGGGATTTTGCTGATTTTTTCTTATGGCCAAAAACACTTGCTTTTTGCAAAATTTGCAAAGTTTTGTGTGCTTTTTTTGTGAAATTTGAAGAAATTGGCAAAATTGCAAGGAAGTGTTTTTGAAGAGTGAAGAAAGACACTACTGTTCAAAAGATTGAAATCAAATTTCTTGTTTTCCCTGAAAACACATTTTTATTCATTTCTAAATCTTTTTATTCTTTTCTAAATAGTTCTAGCATAATTTATAGCTGTGATTCAGGTCATTGTCCTGTCATAGGATGAAATTGGGTCCAATCAAGGGCCGTGCACAGGGTATGCATGTTGTTGCCAAATGGAGTGATTGCCTTCCTTATTTAACATTCCTTTTAACCTGTACAAATTCCCTACTTCACCAGCACCAAAGCATCTCCAAACTACCAGTATCTTTTCATTTCTCTGTGTGTAAAAGAAACACTCAAGTCAACATCAGCAGATAATCAAATGAACACTATTAGGCTGTGCACTGCGATAGTTGTGGGCGAAATGCCAGCAGTTTTGATTTGGTCGTTTGGTCAAAAGCTGCAGTAAATTTGATTCACTGCAATACGAACCAGCAAAATATAGAAACAGACTGCTGAAGAATTTAGAAACTTAAGGAAAACCACTTACGAATGTCTTTTTAAAGTCCTGTTTTGGACGATTTTCTTAGTAATTTAATATGTGTATGACTGAAAATAAGCAGCAACATATAGCATCTCCTGACTCAATCTGTATGCCTCCCCCTCGCTCTCTCCACAGGCTGTGGAAGCGGCCCAGCTTGCTGAAGATCTGAAGGTGCAGTTGGATCACACTCAAGCCAAAATGCGGGAGATCCAGGCCTCCGTCTCTGACAACCGCTCGGCCCGGGAGCGCGAGAGCTTCAACCTCAAGAAGGCCCAGGTGCTGTGAAGCTGTTTAAATGTATCCTCCAAATACACTGGAGGGCGGTGTGTCGCTCACCCGGTTAGCAATTGGTGCGTGTGATTAGAAGATGGCTGCTTGGATTGTTGGCCTTGGCAGACTGACGCTGCCGTCGGGCCCCTGAATAAGGCTCTTCACTCCCAGCTATAGGTGCTGCATGCTGACTGACCCTGCACTTTGTCACTGTGTCTCGTGGAGGGCAAGATGGAGTAGACGAAAAGATCATTTCCCCCTAGGGATGAATAAAGTATCGCTATTTTCTATACTATATGGCATTGGACTCACTGATGTACGTTTCTCTGCCTTAATTCCCTTTGCAGGAAGATTTGTCCAGGCTACGTCGAAAACTGGAGAAGCAGAAGAAAGTGGAGGTGTACACAGATGCGGATGAGATTTTGCAGGAAGAGATCAATCAGTACAAGGTCAGTCAGATCAGTCATAATGAATATTCTTTCATATGCAGTATCGCAGTAGAAATGATCCACTTCGAAAATGAATGGCTGTAATCAGAAGCTGGAAGGCCTTTGCCTCCTTTGACGTGCTTCTCTCTGCTGCCGCTTCTCGTTCCTTCCCCCCCCCCCCCCCATGTGGCCTCTTCACAGGCAAAGCTGCGCTGCCCCTGCTGCAACACTCGAGACAAGGAGACAGTGTTGACCAAGTGCTTCCATGTCTTCTGCTACGAGTGCCTTAAGACGCGCTACGACACGCGGCAGAGGAAGTGCCCCAAGTGCAATGCTGCCTTTGGTGCCAACGACTTCCACCGCATCTACATCACTTAGGGAGGAGGTAGCCAGTGGGGAAGCAGTCATCATTCTGTGTACCAATTTTGAGGAAATACTTTGCTGTATCTTGTACAAAATGTGAGGGGTGAATAGAGAAGGAGAGGCAGGTGGGTGTGATGGTGTCTGAGTAACATTGCAGTCATAGGTAACACTGGTTTGGGCACTTTGTGATGTGGACAGAGCAGACTGACCTGCTCGGAGTCATCTCCACAGTGCTCTGCCGGTCTCACTAGATCCCGAAAGCCTCCTGTGCTCATTTTCCAGTGTGCTTCTGTTCATCAGCTAATTATGCTGCCCATTTGTGTTGCTAAGCAGAGTAATACATGCTTCATGTCAGTAATTATGCACCTGTTAAGATCAGAAAGTTATGCCATATCATTTTCCTCGTCTAAGCACCCAAAATAATCCTGGACCAGGATATTTACTGCTTTATTGCCCTTGTTATTGCTATAAATACAATAAAATTTTGCATTTTCTAATGATAAATCTTTGCTTTTGAACTGGAATGTTTCAGGAAAGTTCAGAGTTCATTTTTAGGTGTAACAATATAACTTTTACATCAATTGGATTTTTTAGAAATGCCGCCTTAGAGCGCTCCCTCCCATCACAAAATTACTCATACTGTTTTTAACATGGTTATTATGTGATCTTCAGAAGAACAGTACTTTATTAAAAACATTAAAATGATTTTTCTTCAGTGATTTACCAAAAATGTGACACACTCCACACTGCTTGTGCATCCCACAGCTCCTTGTAACTTCCTGTACTTTGCATCAGTTGTCATTGTGCATTTAGAATAAAACCGTTTAACCACTCTGAAAAACTTAAAGGTTTCTTATTCAGAAGCAAAGTAGGTTATTTTCCTTTTTTATTGCAACTTATTTTGCCACTTGGTAAAGATTTGAGATGTTTTTGGATCCCAGCATTTTATATACACAGCAAGGCTAAGGTTTTGCAGCATTGTCACTGTAATACAATGTAAAATTGTCTTGTTGAATAGTAAATACAGTGGTACCTTGGTTTACGAGCATAATTCGTTCCGGAAACATGCTTGTAATCCAACGCACTCGTATATCAAAACGAATTTTCCCATTAGAAATAATGGAAACTCATATGATCCGTTCCACAACTCAAAAATATTCATATAAAAATTAATACAAAATATAAAGTAAAAATACATAAAACAAATTAACCTGCGCTTTACCTTTGAAAAGAATCGTGGATGGTATGAGGGAGACGAGAGAGGAGAAGAGGAGGGTTATTTTGTAGGACGACTCACTATAATTAACGGAATCACTGCTATCTGTTGGCTCACTGGAATCTTTTTCTGTTTGTGCGACTTTAACAAGGAACCCATCCAATGACAGCCTCTTTTGCCTCCTTTTCGATTTCGCAAAAATGTGGACATTGCATTGTCGTTAAACAGATTCATCGCTCGCACTGCTACGCTCTTATTCAGGTGGTGCTTTTCTACTAAATTTTGACTATACGAGTGAGGCATGCCGACTGAGACCGAGCATGGGAGACGATTGCCCACAGTTCCGCAGCGTGAGAAAGTGAATAACCATTGGTTTAGTTGTGATGACGTGCGCTCGGCGTCAAAACAAGAAGCGCACGTATGCGCTTCCAATTTTGAAGCCGAGCGCACGTAAAAACAAGGAAAACAAGGAGCGCATGTGTGCCATATGATTTTTGATGATACTTGGCGCTCGTAAACCAGGACTTGCTCGGTTTCCAAGTCAAAATTTATTAAAAAAATCTTTGCTCGTCTTGCGGAACACTCGTAAACCGCGTTACTCGTAATCCGAGGTTCCACTGTAGTTATTTAGCATACAGAAAATAAATCCAAATGGACACATTTTGATAAAGGTTTAACATGCCCTTTAGTTTGTGTATTATATTAGCTTGCCTTTAAGTATATGTAATATCTTGTATATAATGTTGGCTATGTCCTAATGTATTCTATATCTTTTATGTGTTGACCACTGTTTCACATTTTATGAAAATTACGTGTAGATTTAAAATCAATATTCCAAATGCACTTTGGCTGCTACAGTTCAGCACTGGCAGTGCATTTTTGGGAATTGATCCACTATTGTGTTCACTGTCGGAGGAAACACTATCCAGCCTAAGCATGCACTGTGTAATAACTACTTGGTTTGTAATGCGTGTATTGCATGCCTTTTGGGTCACACTGCAGGGACATTATTATAAGCCATTCATAAGCTGCAAACTGATTTGCCCATGACAATGGGCCTTGATACTTTAAAGTCACCTGGCAAAACACATCTATAGTTAGCATGAAAAGGCATAGAGAGGAAAAAAAAATCACTGTTGAAGCTATTGTTTGTAGCAGTACAGCACAGAATGCTAAAATAAATGGATGCCATAGTGAGATTCCATTTGCCCATCTTCTGCTTATCCTGCCCCAGATCACAGGGAGTCTGGAGCCTATAGTGAGATTCTCAGCTGGTGGTGTTTAGTGCTTAAACCTTAATTCTGAATTGTATGAGCCTGAAACAACTATCAGCTGAAAGAACGCTGACTTGTTTATTCAGGTCTGACTGTGAATGGTAACTAAAGGTAGGTCTTGTGGAACAGCAAAAACCCATCATCAGCAGATCACTCATGGTGACAGTTTAGAATAAAATAACCTCCAACACAAAACTTTGTTGAAAGACCTTTAAGCAAACGATTAAACTTTTCAACATTATCTTAAAACAAAAAGTGTATGGAACTCCCAGCAGCATTTCTCATTAAATTAACTTTTTTTAATATAAAGAAAAATAGCTTGCTGAAGTTTTATGAAGTGAATGAAGTAAAAATAAATTAGTAAATCTTAAATTTTCAGTGATATTTGGGTCTCCATTAGTAGTCTCAATTCAGCAGCACCAGATTACAGTGTAGAAAGCAAAATTGGCCAGTGTGCTCTCCACTGAAACAGCTTCTGTTCCTCTGCTAATTTACAGCAACTTCTCTACAGATGCACTCAACAGGCGAGAGTGGTGAGCAAATTCATTTTCTTGTTTGTTTGTCAAGTAGCCTGAAGCATCCTTCATTCTGTCTTACACTTATCAATTGCTGGATCCTTCATTTACAGATGTATCATCCTCAAGGCAGGTGTTAGCCAAAGGCTTACCAGTGTGGGCTCCAAGTCTCAACTCCCAACAGGCTACAGGGAGAAATGTCCTCCTCACTGGCCTGTTCTGCAGCAGCGTGCTCTTCTTATCTGGTCTTTTGAGTAGCACCATCCACAGCCTCTTTCAGCCATTCTTTGGCCTTGGTCAATGCAGCACCAGAGGAGAATGGATGGTTCTTATAACAAAGAACGAGATGCCAGCACCACAGGTTTCATTCTAGTTGCCCTCATGACTTGCCTGTGCGTTCTGATGCCTTGGTGTTGAAGGCCCTTCGTTATCTTGAAGTAGCATCTTCAGCACGGTCAGATGGGGAATGATGCAGGATGCTGATGACTTGTTATGGCTCACCTATAGTGTCACTTCCTCTGTTGGGATGAGAGTTTTGACCAAATTGGACAGAATGTCCCATTGGTGAGCAGTAGGGTATGGAAATCCTCTGTGTTCTCCAGGGTAGATGTCGAAAGCATGCTTTTGCTCCAGTGCTCTTTGCAGCATGTGGAGTGTTGCGTTGCACCTTGTTGGAACAGTCTACATACTGAGCTTGCCTGTGGGCCAAATTTAATAATGAATTACAAACCTCTCAAGTTGATTTTCCAATGCAAACATCACTATTGTTTTAGTAGTTGTCTTTAGCTTTGGTGCTGCTAACTTTGAATACTCATAGAGTTTAAATATCAGCTAGCAGTATCGGCCAATACTGACACACCAGATTGATGCTAATATCTTGTTTCTCAAAACAGTTGTAAAAAAAGATCAATCAAGTTTTTAGTTCAAAGTCTAGTCTGATAATTGACAAAGTAGTGAGATATAAAGACAGCACTGAGATGTTGAGGCTGAAATTGTTTGTTTCACTTGGGTCTGTTTTTGTTGTAGTACTTACAGTCCCTGAACACGCATGCATTACCTGACAGGCGTTTGCTGGTTTGTTCTTTTGTTACAATAATAGTGTAACTCTGTAAAGCTTATCGTGGATACAACTGCAACTGGACATAAGCTATCATCACATGTCCCACCACTAGCCTTAAGAATGGCTATATTCAGTTCAGTCCTAGCTCTGGTCCTGCAGTCCAGGTGTTGGGTGTAAGGCAGGCATCCCACTTCTCCCAGAAGTTTTGGGAGTTGCTCACAAATTGGCAGCAGGTGCCCGACACCCAAATATGTTGTGTGCTACTTTACCCAATGTCCCAAAAATCTGTTGTTCCACTATTCAGTGGTAGTGAAATTAGCCTTTAAGAGGTTTTACCACCCACCTCCCCCCATGTCTGCATTAGGCGTGGGTGGTGTCTAATTTTTAATACCATATATCGTGGTATGGGAGTATTTCATTTGCCAGGTGGGGGCGGGGGGGGCTGTGAGTATTTTAGAACACCTTGCTATAAGGTATTACTCCCCAGGCGAAGCCAGTACGCCCCCTCCCTGTTGTCCTTCATCCACCTCCCTGAAATCAACATGCCTAAGGTGGGATGTCTGGTAAGAGGTCATCAGAGTAGGCAGGAAGGGAGGGATGCCTTCCGGCCCCAATGAGAGAGTACAGCTGTCATTACAGAGGGACAAACATTTCCATCTGTGTTAATTTAAGATGCAACTTGAGAAGTTCCGTACCCTGTGTAAATTTGTCATACATTAAACATTCCCTATAAATCCTTGAGTCATGGACAGAGACTGGCTATTTTGCCTAGGACACCGAATATCACTTGTGCAGCGTTGCAAATGATCTTAATAGTAGATAGCACACTGGCAAATGAAGCCCTGAATTGAAAATAAATTGTTTAGACAGTACCTGCACGCTAATGCTGTGTTAAGGCCACCTGTCCCGCAATCTCCTTCATTTACTACTCTATTATAGTGATAGGCACGAGAGTACCATCTAGGCATTCAACGATATCAATGAATATGTAAACAATTATATTTAGTCACAGTGACAAATCATCTGGTTCAGACACGAATAAACATTTCTGTAATAAATGACAAACCTAGAATTTGGTGGAATATGTAATGGCCTTTTTGGGTGACATTTACTCTGATCTTGGTTTCTGGAATGGAAATTGATGAGGTTTACCCTACTAATTCAGGATTATTTGCCAAACCCACTTGCTGGTAAAAATGAGGGATCCCACAGAAATCTTGCAGCCAAGACTTTTAAATACTGTTATACGGCCCAGACCTACCTAAGCCTAGGCGTAACGTTATTGCTAGGTAATCAGCTTCCTAAAGCACTGGTTATTTATAGTAAGAGAAACTTCCAAAACATGTGAGGAAAATACAATTTCATATCCATTAGAAAAAAGTTTACCCTCAAAAAAATTCAGGCGAGACTGGATACAAGTTTTTAATCATGTTCATTTCAGAAGAGATAGGCATTCGGATTAAACTACATAGTGTTTTCATCAAAATACTTCTATTTATGACTACTTCTGTAAGAACTTCACCTAAGGACATGACCTTTCTACTGAACTTTGAGGGAAAAGTCGACCGTGGGGTAACCCTGAGTGATGCAGCCTAGAGAGATGACGTCCACGTGGTGGGACAGGTAGAGGTTCAGGTTGGAGGGAGTTATTCCACCACTGGCTTCAATCACCACAGAAGGGAAGTCCTGCTTCAGTGAGTGAGCAGCACTGTGCATGCTCTGGTGAAATGGACAGACAAAGGAAGAAGGACATACACTTAATTTAACAATCTGAGGGTAAAGATTATTAATATAGGTATGTGTCATTTGACATAAGGGTTACGTTCTGTTATATACAGGAAGTCTTGGGATGCTTAATTCAGTAAAAAAAATATTGCATATTTATTGGGTTTATAACAAAATTACTTTATTAATCTGTTTACAAAAATTTGTATCACATTCGAAACATTGAGTAGTTTTAAGTAAAACATTCATTTTAAGCAGTAATAAATTGAAACCCAAATTATAATTCTCAAAGAGCTGTTCTCAATTAAAAAGTTAATTGACAAGCGGCCACATTGGGTGCTTTTTAGCAAGATAAAATAGCTAAGATACTTTACCCACTTTTGTGTACACTAGCTACACGTGGTGCGCAATGGCAGTTTAAGTACATTTTCTTGACTCCATTATGGGCTGTTTGAACCCACAACCCTCCGCATACAAGCCTGGATCCCAAACTTATTCAGCTATACATTGCCCTTTAAGCACATGACATGTCAGCAGTTTAGTCATTAGTTCAGTGCAGATGCCTGGCAGGTTTTACCTCGGGGGTGAAGTTGTCAAGCATGATAATATCCACTCCTGCTTTTGCTGCCTCCCTGCCATCATTTTCGCTTGCACACTCCACCTCAATCTTACTGCTGAACCCACAAACAGACCGTGCATCTCTCACTGCCTGGGAAAGACAGAGGAAAGGGCTTCATGCATGGATGCTGGATGGAATGTGGGCTCTCTGTGTCTGTCTATACTCTCATTTGGAAAGTAAAGCACTGCTCTCAATACTGAGGTGTTTTTTTATTGAAAAATATCGTCCATCCTGCTCCCTTTCACTTCTGATCCTAGTATATAGACTTGATGCTATGAAATATTAGAGCAGGACAGGTCTAATAAATGACAATCACATTGTTTTCATAGATGTTAACGTTCACTGGATTAAATCCATTTGTCACCTTCCAACCACTGATCCTGGTCAGGCTGGCAGTGGGTGAATCTCAGGGGGCATATTGATGGGAAAGGCACATGACACAGGGGGACGTCACAAAGTCACACACACAAGACAAAGGAGGGACAGCACCACCATGCCAGCCTCTCTTGGATTAAGCATGTCATTTTTGTGCCCTGTGCCCCCAGGACCCTGATTAGCATAAGAGCAGTTAGGAGATGAATGGCTGGCCCTCCAGCTCTATCTGACGTTCTATGCCAGACTAAAATGAAAAGACCAGGAGAGACATAAGGGTCTGCTCACCTGTGTGATGCTCCCCGATGCCTTAACATGGTTATCCTTCAGCATGATCATTCCGCTGAGGTCATGCCTATGAGTGGAAACCCCCCCAACCAGCATGGCATATTTCTCCGGCAGGCGAAATCCCGGAGTGGTTTTACGCGTCCCGGACAGCTGGCCTGCCCAGCCTGCAGACCTGGCCACAGCGAGCAGCTGGTGCGAGCGGCTGGCGATGCCTGATGTCCTGGCCAGGCAGTTGAGAGCAGGCCTCTCCCCCAGCAAGATGCATCTCGCTGGACCCGTCACTACTGCAGTCTGGGTCACTGTGTCTGGACCTGAAGGAGCCAATAAGAGAGCCTATGCTGGGACTTATGCTTATAAACACGGTCCTTTTTGTTATGAAGTGGAATTTTCAAGTTGCAACAAGTCTTCACTTCATTTTCAGGTATCAGGCAGATATTACTTAAATGTGAAGTTCAGCACAAAAAGTATATTCATCATTACTGGATTTTCTGAAGTCATAAAAGCCTGTGAAATGACTGGTAACAGTGTTTTTCTAATCTGCATGTTTGTGGTACATGTGGACATAGATACGGGATGCATATATATGGATATCAATAATAAATGATATTTTGTAGTGGTTGTCATCATATAGCGAAATTAGGCTATATGTCAGCAAGCACAAAAAAGAAACAGTAGCTATCATGATGTTAAATGATCTTAGCACTGATGTTAAATATCTAAAAGTTACTCGTTTTAACTCAAGTCATGGAATGGTAAGTGAAGAATTGATTTTCCATCACTGATTGACTAAACATTTTCTTTAATTTTACTGAAATTGTAATTATGTATCTGACACTGTAAAAAGTGTAAAAGATACAAATATTCTAAAGTTAGATTTACCAAAACAGTAGGAACACAAGTTAAAAAAATACATTAATTAGGTTTATATTTTTTGTTTAGACTAGCTTACCAAGTATTTGTCCCTCAGGGTGGAGCCAATCCACAGCGCAGCCAAGCTCCGCAAAGACTGCATTAAAAAAAGGACAGCCAGCAAGTACACTTCCTGGAGATTTACACAGGAGCGTGGCCTGCACCTCCCTGGAGCCAACACAGAGCCCAGCAGGGTCAAAGTTTGGTGTGTCTTCTGCAAGCCATTGCCTTGCAAGTCTGGCCAAAGTTTGTGGAGGAATTGCATGAGACAGATCAAGGGTGGTCGCCATGATGGAAGGTAAACTGAAGGAAATCAAGGAGAGCACAATGGATCTTAGTTCTGTGAGTGAATAAACACAATGGATCTTAGTTCTGTGAGTGAATAAACACAATGTAATACTCTGGTAGGATGACACATTCAATATTTTTAGAGTGGATATCTACACACTCTTACGTGCAATTTCAGAATTTGTTGCTTTAACGGCTGAAATTAAGATAAGTCACATTAGACTATTTTAGCTTTAATGAGATCATATAGCCATGACTAAAACAAATGGATAATTTATAGGTAAAATAAATCTTTCCTTGTACAAAGCAGTTATGTGGCACAGGCAACAAAGCATCCACAGAAATAAAACAGACTTTCCCCATAAATCCATTTTCACACCACATCCACGGTCTTATTTCTGGGATATTTTTATTTTTTTTATCAAAAACAACAATTTAATATGTTTAACAGAGAATATATCCTCTCAACAATATTTAAACAATATTTAAATGCATTTAAGTTACATTTTCAGGTCAGTTTAATCAAACCAGTTTAATGACTTAATAGTTCTAAGCGATCCAGCACCCTTTACATCAGCACTCACCACCTGCAGTTTTGATTATATGCAGATTTTGTTCCATGCAATCATTGAGATTTAATCTTTTTTCAAGTCAGTGCCTCGGGGTTAAATACCCCCACTCCATACCATCCAAGCAGCATGAATAAATCCCAACTCCATCTGTCCATTTACAAGTAAAGCTGATTTTTGGGACGAATGCACTTTTGAAAAAGTTGCCTTCAGAACTTAAGGTTGAAATCACACAGCTTTAGTGATTTCCCAATATTTCAAATAGAAAATTTCTCCGCATGTGGTAACCTAATGATAACTTTAGGTAAAATTTAAGAACAGAAAATTCAAGAGAGGCATATCCATACAATTTTTTGTATTAAAAACAGCTTAAATTACAGTAAAATTAACAGCTTCAACTTAATATCTGGAGCCAATTAGAGGAAGTAAACTTTATAATAAGCTAAACAATACATATAAATTTAATTATGAATTGTTTTATTTAGCTGCAAACATAGAACCTCAAAAGTTTCCAAACTAAAACAGCTAACTTGAATAAAAATTCTTAGTGTATTTAATACTTGTTTCCACTAGAAGCACAAATGTCCAGACTAAAGTTGCCTTATTTTGTTGGTGTAATGTAAAGAGAACTAGGGAAGACCATAAGACCTGGAAGAGCTGGAGGGACTCAGAGCTCCTCCCAGCAGCACCATTCTTAGGGGAATATGGGGCATCACAAGGGATCAGTGTCTGTACCACAGTGCGCATCTACTGCAAGATGGCAACATGCAACTTTTGTCAAGTTAGGTTCATTTGTGATGCAACATCCTTCATGTCTGTCTGTCTCCGTCGGTCTGCTGTCCCTGATCAAGCTGAGTCATTTTGCAGTTTTGATGACCACTGCATCTACAATTCGAGGATCATCTCTAGATCTGTGCTCTCTTTGGACTCTGCACTGAGATTCAGCTACAGATGGCTCAGCTTGATCACTGCATTTGTAATTGTGATTTCATTACTTTACTCCCCATCCCTGTATTCTTTAGTTGCCACTTAAAGGAGAATTCTGGAAGACCTCCAGCAGTGCATTTTGTCAAAACAACCATGCATGCACCCATGGTTGTTCTGTACATTAGTTTAATAGTTACCATATCCTCCTGAGACCCAAGGAAAAAAAGTTTCCTTCAATTTTAGGATATTTGTCTTTGGAGGAAATAAGACATCTTACAATTTAGATTTTTTCTAATTTATTTTTATTTTTAATTTGACAGCATGCCCTCTTTAGTGTACAACAGGAATAAATATGTTTCCTTACATCAGTGAAAAGATAGATGCAAAAACAAAATATCCACTACAATGGACATAAATGAATGGGTGGGGTCTCAGGAGGATATGCATTTAATGCATTTATGAACATAATCTGTTGCAGTAAGCTCATTTGTCAGCATGTTGTTAATACTTTAAGGCAGGGGTGGCCAATCTTACCCGCAAAGGGCAGGTGTGTATGTAGGTGTTTGGGATAACCTGTAGGTCAGCTGTTCAAACCCAGGTGTGAGGACTCTTCATCCAATCAGTCCTCTATAGTAATCTAATTAGGGAGTTGCAGCAAAAACCCACATACACACCGGCCCTTTGCGGATAAGATTGGCCACCCCTGCTTTAAGGCAAGACAAAATAAACTAAACATGTGATTCAAAGGTTTTTATTTGATATGGGTATGGTACATGTATCCCATAGTTCAAAAGTACAGTAAAATTATAGTGGACTCGCTTATAACAGAATATCGTCTATAACGGACGAGGTCCGCTGCAACACTAAAAACTACAGTCAGCAGTTTCTGGCAGCATAAAACTATGTGTAAAATACTGAGCACTACCCCCTCTAAAGTACAGGAAAGTTATTTTGATAGCATAAATCCTTATACAGGTGTCCATTCAGGATTATGGGTAGGAAATTTTGGCAACGTAGCAAAAACCGACAGATGTAACTGAAAATTTCTGCTACAGTAGCAAATTCTGGCAAGGCAGCAAAAAATGGCAGAACACCGGGATCGACTAACTTGTCCGTCACGGTTGACCAGCTATTGGATTAAAAAAAACATTCTGTTTTTGACTAGCTTTTTATACACATATTATGCAGTTAAAAACAAAAGAGTAGATCAAGTTACACACAAAAATCGTAAAAGAACAAAACATTACAACTGCTTAATATGGGTGTTGACAACGCCACAGAAGTAAAGCACAGCAGGCAGAGAGGCGCCAGCTCTTACCGGGTTTATATCGCTAAATTGGGCCGAGGGCAGCTGCTCGATCGTGGCAGATTTTCAAAAACTCCACTGGCTTTATGTTCTGACTTTTTCAACGCAATCTGACCCAGTTAAATTCAGAAAGTCCGCAGGTCAAATACCACACCATGTCTGTAGCAATCAATGAACAGAAACTAAGTCGATCGGTAACTCCACAGGTATTAACTCAGTGTTCCGGAACGATCCATTTTCTGCCTAACATGTGACACCGTTTCTTGCGGGAAACATTTGTTTAATTTTAACTTCGTGTTGAGATTTAAGTGATGATTATTTTTACTGAATCTATTTTTTTTTACCACCGTTAAACTAAAAGATTTTTTCAGATTCATTACTTTATTTGTGGACTTCTGATATATTCCTCATGAATATTTTTTGTGAATGTTTTTCTTTTTGGGGGACGCTTTTGTATTTATTTATATAGGCCTAGCTATAAATTATTTTATTTATTTATAAAGGTAAGTCGTATAATAAATATATAAATAATAATTTATAGATTTTATATTGTGACGCCACCGAGCCGGTCAGCAGACTAACTGGCATGCCTTGCACCGCGCCTTTAGTTGTACTGTAATCTGTAAGTCTATGCGTATTTATGCTGTAAATATTAAGTGTTGTAGTGCATTTTTTTTATCGTTAACTGAGAATAACGAACACTTCAGAACCACCTCGGCAAAACAACCCGATTGACTGGAAGCAGGGAGTCGGCGCTTGTTTCATTTGTGCAATATCACATGACTGATGACGTCGGACGCGTCCTGATATCGCCGCCGCGCGATCACGTGGTCCATGTATGACTTCAAAAGGTCCAAACCCCACACTATCAAATTGTGGTGTGTGATACTGCAAAGTTTGGTATCGTTCCGATATCAAGTAAATACGGGCCATTATCGCTGAAACCGATACTTTTACTTATAAGAACATAAGAAATTTACAAACGAGAGGAGGCCATTTGGCCCATCAAGCTCATTTGGGGAGAACTTAACTAATAGCTCAAAGTTGTTCAAATCTTATCTAGCTCTGACTTAAAGGAACCCAGGGTTTTAGCTTGCAGTACACTAAGAGGAAGACTCTTACTCTTAACTACACGCTGTGTAAAGAAGTGCTTTCAGAAATTCATAAATAAAATGTTCTCCCTCCAATAGTGGTCCTAAAACTGAACCCTGTAGTACCCCACTATGAACGCAGGCCCACTGTACTTATAAAAGCGGCATATGTACTTTAATGTAGGGGAGCGCAATGTGTCATTATTGATGAGGTGAATATGCTAAATCTAATACATTTTGATGACCACTGAATTATTTTGTGATTTTTGCTTTCCACTGTTAATCATGTGTCAGTTAAAACCCAAAGCAAAGTTATAAGCAAATAAAAAATATATGCTTTATTACTGTAATGAACTGAATTAGCAAATATGAAATCTGCCCAAAATTATTACTTGAGAACATTTATATAACAAAACATAATTTCTCCTTTTCATTGCACTTCTCTGACTTTTTTAAACAAAGTGCACAAAATTATTACTAATTACTAATTACTAATGTTTTAAAACTTAATGTTCTGCCACAACCTACACAGACAGGGAGTTCCGGGCAACCAAGTTTATTGGAGAAGACAAGGAAGAGAGTCGTGAGCCATTGTTTTACAAACAAATGATTTACAACAGGACAAAACAGAAGCATATGTGTAGTGAGAAAATGACTAGGAGCCTGTCAAGCTTACATTTTCCTCATTTCTGTTCGAGTGACATATTACTGCTCAAAATCCTTTGTACTGCAAGTTCTGTGAGTCATTCCAAATCAAGATATATGTACTGTCCAATGACAGTAATTGTGATGTTTAAAAACTCTATAAATGACATATTCCTATAACTCCTACAATGTACACCCCACCTAGGTCATTCTGGTAGCAGGTCAATCAGGACACTGTCCTTATGGATGATTCATAAAAAAGCTTGACCTGCCTGTACACTCTGGCCACCAGCCATTCCCATCCTGCACCATTTCCATGCTCATTTCAATCAAGCAGCTTAATCTCAGCCATGCTTCAGCCAATCTTCACCAAATTTGACCCACTAATGTAGTACTGGACCACAGACAGACCCTCCAACTTTGATGCCAATTGGTCAAATAGGGGCGCTACAGCCGTTGTGCATATGTCTAAGACCCACCTTGGCTAATTCACCTGAAATGTCCTTATTTCTCATAAACCCTTCAAAGAATTACCTTTCCCTTCACCTGAGTCCATATTATTAATTTCCTTTCATTTTTCTGCCATTTGACTCATAGAAAATGATCAGACTTCATTTATAAGCCAGGCAGTGTATATTGCAGATTTTTGGATTTTTTTTTATAAATTGGCCAACAGGTGGAGGCAGTGCTCTATTTATATTGCAGTTTTTTGGATTTTTTTTTATAAATTGGCCAACAGGTGGAGGCAGTGCTCTATTTATATTGCAGATTATTATTTTTTTTAAACTCAGCACTGTTGTTAAGAATATGCAACAGCCTATGTTCACACAGCCAGTACAAAGTAACTTGTAAGAAACTGTAAGATCTAGACTTACCACATCAGGTAGGAAGGTGCCTATCTCTACCAACTATTCAGACCATCAGACCAAAACCAAACATTCAGTCAGGCTCAGGCACTGCACCAGACGGTACTACATTATGTCCTACATCTGCTCACCTGTTAGACCTACACTCAACAATCTCCATCCTGATTTCTACCTACTACTCAGACCATCAGACCCAAACCAAACAGGCTCAGGCACTGCACCAGACGGTTCTACATTCTGTCCTACATCTACTGACCTATTAGCCCTATACTCAACAATCTCCATCCTGATTTCTACCTAATACTCGGACCATCTCACCCAAACCAGTCCTGTTCTGTCCGACATCTGCTGACCTGTCAGGCATACACTCCATCCTGTTACAAGACTATGTAGTTCTGTCTGAATTTTAGTACCCTCCTCTACTGTATGTCCGACCAGGATGAACATCCTATGCTTTGGACCCTTCAGTCACTGCCTGCAGTTACTAGTACATTTCTTAGAATTCCTCTTATGATTAAGTGGTTATTAATGATCAGTGACAGATATTAGCTGGGAAAAGGATCATGCAGAATACCTTGCAAGTTTTGAAGACTCCTGTTGAAACCTCCTTTAAATACAGTGGAAAGCCAGCCAGGGCAGCTGTACGATCCACACTAATGCTCTTGTCCTGATGCAAAAACAATGATAAAATACACATAGGGGGTGTTAGGCTTGTTCAGTCATGTTCAATCATTCATGTGAGGAATAAAATAATTTCATGCATAAAATATTACCTGTTCCTCATAAGCCATTAAAAGTTCTTCCATCTTCTCATTCAAAAATTTTCAGTTTTCCTCTTTTTGTAAAATTTAAGCAACTGTGCTGTATATTGGTCAAGTGCAGCAAAGAACCAAAAAGGAAGATTCTGATTGGTGATCCTTTGGAATTCACAGTAGATCTGCATGGAGAACATAAAATGCAGGTTATAAAGATGAACAAAAATTATGCATGTTCACTAAAAGCCAAGGAAAACTGTAAAAGAGAAGACTACTCAATTATATGCCCTTTATTCAGATCAAGTAGTAATACAATGGTAACTTTGTAATGTGTATGCTTGTCCACAATTTAAGATTTTACCCACCTGGGTTTCACAAAAGAGTACAGGCCATCTTTGTTTTATTTTGGCAATGGGAGGAGCTGAATTCACAATTTTTTCACGCCTGAGTGCAAAGGTGTGCTGCATATGTTGATGAATGAGAATCATGTCTTTCTGTCTTCTTGAACTGCTCTACCATCTCAAGCCTTTGCATCTCCAGTATGTCCTTAGTCATTCGCAGGGGATAATTGGGAAGAAAGTTATCCTCCCCTCTTCTGGGTCTTTTGATGTTGGACATAGATGCTGCAGCATCTGGATTGGCCCTGCTCCTCTTTCCTGAATTCACAGCTACATCTTTTATGCCTGCCCTGCTCAGTTTTGTTCTGTAGTTGTCCATCTTGAATCGCAAGCTGTTCTTCCAACCTTCATACCCGGTTTGGGAACCATTTTCTTTGAGACATGCGTATTTCTTCACAAGAGCTTCTGCAGCTTTTCCAGTCTCTGTGTTGCTAGGATATGCTTCAATTTGATATATTTCAGCAGCCATTGCATCCAGCATGTTGTGGTTTTGATCCCTGGCTAATTTGACAGTTTTCCCCTCTTTGACATATTCAGACTTGCCCACTCTTAGTACGTTGGGGAAGGCTTCTTGAACCAGCTGCCTGTGATCTGAAATATTACACGACATGTACTGAATGGTATCATCTGTGAAAGAATGAGACACAGCTAGCTCACCTCGACGCACGGCTTGGGCTCTGGAACCAGTCTCCTTGAGGGGGTTTGGACCCAAGGGCGTAACTTTGGCTGGAATATTGGGGGGGGGTTGAGGTCTCCACCCATTATGGAGGAAACATGATTATTGGGGGGGTTGTATTAGCTGGTTTTGATTTATTGGGGGGGCTACAACCCCCCCCCATAATTTATGCCCATGGTTGGACCCTCCTCCACTCTGGAGTTGCTCACGGGGAGAGGCACCCAGCAGGGGTGGGTATACTTATCGCCCCCTGGCTGGGTGCCTGTACATTGGAGTTTACCGCAGTGGATGAGAGGGTAGCCTCCCTTCGCCTTCGGGTGGGGGGACGAGTCCTGACTGTTGTTTGCGCTTATGCGCCAAGCGACAGTTCAGAATACCCACCATTTTTGGAGTCCTTGGAAGGGGTGTTGGAGAGCACCACAGCCACGCCCGTGCACTAAATCAGTCTGAGTCCATGACAGGTATATAAGATTCTAACAGGTCTCGATGCTGTTCAGCCAAATGGCTATTTTAATATTAGTTTAAATAGAACTCATGGCCATAGGTGGAAATTAGCGGGAGAACATTTTAAACTGAATTTGAGAAAGCACTTTACACAGTGTGTGGGTAGAGTATGGAATAGTCTTCCTGTTAGTGTAGTGCAAGCTAAAACCCTGGGTTCCTTTATGTCAGAGCTAGACAAGATTTTAACAACTCTGAGCTATTAAGTTCTCCCCAAATGAGCTTGATGGGCTGAATGGCCTCCTCTCGTTTGTAAATTTATGTTCTTATGTTTTGAGTTCATTATCAGAAGTAAGCACATACTGTAATTGAACCAACATTTAGATTGCTGAAAATACATCTCAGCTATTTAGATAAGTTAGGTGGAACATTAGCCAGGGGTGGGTGTGCCTGGTGGCTCTCAGGGCGTCCCCCTGGTCCCCCGGGTGGGGGGCAGGTCTCCCCGGGGCGGGCGGGGCCCCCGCGGGGCGTGCGGGTGGCCTGGGCTCCGGGCTCTATCCGTGCCTGCGCGGCCCGCCCCCCGGGGGGGGGTCGGCGTGCTGCCGCCTGTGGCCGTGGGGTTCCTGGCTCGTGGTTTAAACCACTTCTTTGCTGTTACAACTATTCGGTTCTCCCACCTCCTCCCTCCACCACCTTCGGCTCCCCGTCCTGGTCTGGGGTTTGGCTCCTTCGCCTCCTGCCTGGTCGCCCAGCCAGATCGGGGCTTCGCCAAATCACTGTCCATCTAATTATTTAAATTGTTTCAACAAACACCCGTGTCGAAACTATCTATTGAGGTCTCCTTGGTTGAATTATGTTTAAGTAGAGGTTCCTGACAAAGTCAAAAAGCCTTGATGCGGTACACAAATTTATGTGGTGCTTTTATGCATTTTAAACTTACAAACAGCTCAGTGCCGACCCTAACAGCACAGGAAGGTACATAACAAACAATAATGGCATTTATATCATTATCATCATCTAACAAAACAGTTCAGAAATACACATCAAACTGAAAAACTGCAAATAATTTTGCTAATTTAGGAAACAATGTAAATGTTAATTATAAATACATCATTTATATTTACATTTTCCTTCACAAATCATATTCCTGATCAAGGGAGTTCATACTAATACAATTTAGTTATGACTTTAGATTAAAGGAATTGCAGTGTAATACACAGATATTTTCGGTTTATTACCATCGTTACTACTACTATTTGACTACTTTTATGCTGTTTACACCAAAATATATTCAATGTCAACCTCTCAGGCTCTCACAATAGTAGAATATAATATTAATATGAAATCTATATTGGCAGAGTACGGAAGCGTAATGCGTTCACTTGAGAAAAAATAATTCTGCTCTGTTTTTCTGAATTAATGACATAATTATCTCGGAATTTCTGAGATAAAGTTTTCATGTAAAAAAAAAATACGCTCTGTTTTTCTGAATTAACGAGATACGGTTAATGTAAAAAAAAAATACGCTCTGTTTTTCTGACTTAAACTCAAAAACTCTCATTTCGCCTACTTTAGAGCTCACTGCAACAATGTCACTCCTTAGATTAATACAGTTTTATTTTGGTCTAGGTTAGAAACACTGGGAAATACTCGCAGCTTTAAGTAACATAGATGGCATTGTTATTAGTTTGTCGACTTTGCGCAGGTTTTGCGGTTGTTCAGACGGAAAGCCCATTCTGATCTGCAGAACATTGCAGTGTTTCTCCAGGCTCAGTTGGACCAGTATGGCATGCTTCACGGATACAAGATGATGCATCTGAAATGCATTCAGGCTGGTCATGTGGTGACTCAAGAGACAATCAAACCATGTATTTTTTTAATGAAAACTGTATCTGTGTCTGCACCGTCTGACACGCCCCCATTCGCCATTTTGAGTGTATCGCGGATGTAAACACATTTGGTTAACAAACAATGTTTCATATTCAGTTTTTTTTTCTCTACAAAAAATGTAACGTTTTATGGAACTTTATCAGTAATGTTACTGATTTTCATTACCAAAGTACACCAGCAATTTAGGTGTTTAAGAATGGAAACAGGAGTCAAGAACACCACAAAAATGTCATTGGACATAGCTTTATTGGTAATATTTAAAATAAAATATAAGCGGCAAGCAGGACACAGGCTCGGTATACAACGAGTTTATACAGATCCTTCCAGGCATCATGTAAAACGTTAGAAACCATACTTGCAAATGTTTCTATACTTAAAACATAGTTAGGCATTGGTTTTACAGGGCACAGCACACAGTGACAACCTTACCCAGCACTGCGGCTTATAATCCATGCACGCGAATATACATTAACTGATACACGTGTCATTACAGTTTTGCTGTTTACTTGTCTTTAAAAAGCATTCACTCTGTAACACTACTTTAACACGAACATATTAATCTATTTCTGTTGCCCTTCGTAGTGAGGCTAGCTTGCTAGCGTAGGTTAACCAATGTGAAAATACCAACTTTAGAAGACTGGTTGTAACCTTTGTAAATAGGCAATGCCTATAAATGAAACCAGTTTTTTTTTAATTATTCCTCTTTAGCTTTTAAATGTTTAAAGAGTAACCACTGATTCACTAACTTTTAACTGAGATGTCATTCATACGTAGAGGCTCATTCTTCCTCATTTTTAGGGATATCTAAGCTGATATCCTGTAGGTTACCGTCATCTCTCGCTGTCTCGTCTTCAGCACTGCATATGAGGGGAGCTGTGTCCACTTTACCATTCTCCTCCTTCACCGGGAAATTATCCAAACCCTCTTTTTCACCTTCCATTGCCTGAACATCCTCATAAGTTTGCTCTGTGTCTTCAAGGGAGGGCTTGTTTCGCTTGAAGAATCCACACTGTAGACAAAGACAGACAAAGACAGAAACGTAATCACCATACATTACCTTCTGCATGAAAGAACTCTGAAAGGAAAATGATGTTAAATTAATTTAATTTAATGTAAACTAGAGTCCATCTTCCATATCTTGCTTGTTGTCAAAATCATTGATGCTTCACATAAACATTGATATAATGTTTATGTAAAGCACAAATAAGATCCATCAAATACTTTTTGATTTATCACATTCACAAGGTCAAATGTCATCTGCTTTCACCCTTAGCTGCCACTAAACAGCAATGCTTCAGTTTTATGAAGGTGTTTATAGTGCATTATAGTTGAGACCTTCATAGAGCATTGATAATGCATTATACACATGACTATAATGCACTATGCATTGTTATAAAAAGTAATTGTCGTGTTTATAATACTTTATGAATGCATTACAATGCATTATGAAGGTGTCTGTATCGCATTATAAAACAGGGCTTCATAAAAAGTGTTACCGATCCAGCAAATATTTTTTGAGTCATTAAAAAAAGTTCATGCAACACAAACTAAATAAATATCAATGATCTAAACATAAGAAAGAGCATTAATAAATTGCCAAGGTAACACTTAACTTGATGGGGCACAAATACTTAGTAATAACCCAGTTACTATTGAAGTACAAATTATGAACAAATCATGAATATATATAGCTGCTACTTATAAAAGATGTCTCGATTCATTAATGATGAACAAACATGAGATCAGTATTTCATTTGTTATTCATTACTTCTTCCTTCAGTTGTTAGTTCCTTAGTGTAGTTCACAAAGGTTTACAGAACTAACATTGTAACAAATATAGCAGCTGCTTGAGATAAAGCATGTGTCATGATTCATTAATAAGGAATTAACATGAGATCAGATTGTGACTAAAACTTAATTTGTGGTTAATTAATACATAAGTAATATTATAATACTATATAATAAGTAACGTGTTACCATTGTCAACAACAGCACTCTGCAACAACCCACCACAGAGGGAGAGAAAATGTCAAATAATAATTCTTGTGTATTGAAAATAAGAGACCTTCCATCAGCATGGTTTAACGTTAATTATTTTGTGGATCATCTGTATATCGCTTTTTTCTTGTTTCATTTTTCATGTTTTTTGGACAAAACAAGGTGCTTGTGTGTGTGTTGATGATGTGATATTTTCATTGAAATCATCCAGCCCTAAGTGGCATCAGTGAGTAACAGAAAGGGACATTGGTACTTGTATTATAGCTGAAAAACATGGTGACTGTGTGTGACTTACAGTATGATGGACTGGCATGCTGATCATGCAAGATGTTACCCATCCTTGTACCCCCCTCCATGGCCCTGACCAGGATAAGTGGTTAGATGAATGGAAAAATATATGCTTACCTTATACAGGATGAGAACAATTGCAATAAGAAGAATAAATCCTCCTCCGGCTCCCACCCCAACAATAAAAGCTTTATTGGGAGGAATGATCATCTCTGCTTGGCAAATCACCTTAAATGTCAAAAAGTGGTCAATGATACTGCAGCTGAAAACACTCTGCTTAACACTATAATAGAAAGGGATTTGATATGAGCAGCTTAATGTGCACCGCTGTCAATGCGCACAGCTGATTTGGGGGATGTGGCTCATTGCACAATCTGCTTTCTTACCCTCTGGTTTGCTCACAATCTGTCCTACCATTTTAGTCATAAAAATGGCTTAGCAGACATATTCCTCCAGATATAAATGCATTAAATGTTTTAAAACCATGATTTTCGATTATCCAATGGTTCAGCAATAGAAAGCAAAACAAATGTCTACTATTTATCTGTCTTAGTTGCTATTGGATCTACAGCAGACGTGACGACATGATGATGACAACAACAACAGCAATAATAATAATAACAATAATAGCAGTAATGATAATAGTAATAGTATTAATATACCTCTGCTTCATGGAATTTTATGGTGTTTTCTTGGCTCTGTTAAGAAAGACAGTTTTTAGCACTCTCATCACATTTTTTCCCTTATTTTCTTTACAGACAAACTTTCTGAATAAAACTTACCCTTGAGTTGCTTGAAATTTGAATGTATCGCTGATTATTATAGCTGAGTTTTGCTTTGCTTACAAACTTCACGTCAAAACGTTTTTCATTAAAATTTAGTTCCTGAGGAGAAAAAAAATTGGTTCTTTTATTGATGAAACTGAAGCTTAAGGTTCTGAGATGAATAAAGGCATTAATTTCCCAATTATCATTTTGGCTTGACTGTTTTTTCTCTATCTAAAAAACTGGGGTAGTCTTGTATTTGAGGACTAAAATTTAAATGTAATTATATATATTCAACAATAAATTCCACCTCTTGGCTAAAGTGGTCGTGCACTTCAAACAAAATGTATGTAATTTTAGCAATATTAGTGGTTATAACCGATTCAGTGCACCCCCCGTGTAATGTTCTGAGGCAAACTTTTCCCAATGTACTCCAAATTTTTTTTTCGAAAAAATAGTTGCTGGAAATATGTGGGTTGTCCTATAATCAAGGTCGTCTAAGATTTGGGCCAAAACGGTACCATTGTTGGCAGTAACAAACAAGTGTATTCTCTTATAGCAGTCTAGCTAAAATACACAATCATATATGCCATGCAATGTAAAAGTATTTATTACTGTCTGTTTTGTGTGATTGCTGAATAAGTTTAAAACAAAATGAATTAGATTTCAGTAAAAAAATAGCTAAAAGGAGCTTTGATGATATATACTTATTAAAGAAAAATGGTGATGGTCTTCCAAATACTACAGTATCATTTGATCCAGAAGGACTCTGAATGCTGAATGCTTTCATCAATGTCTGAAAACTGGCACACTGATCTCAAACAAACAGGTAAAGACACTGGCAGTAATTTTCACAGGCCTTTCAAAGTGGAAATGTGAATGTCTCTTAGAATTAAAAACAAGTCATTGAAGCTTAAAATCACTGGGGCGAAGGACTATCCCAGAGAATGAATGTGATGTTCATTAACATCCATGAAGTCACAAACATGAGACAACCACTAAACCACATGGCTTTACACAATGCAATTATAATTTAAAATTGTAGTCATCAAAGCAATGCATGTCATAAGACACTCTGTAGGTGTTCTTGTCTTTCTGCATCTTACCCCCTGGTATTTCTTTGGATTGGAAAATTTCACTGTTGCAGTCAGTGTAAACCGGACAGGCGAAGTTCTCACAAGACTGGAGATTTCACATTGGGCTGTCTTACAAGGGCCCTTGCAAGCCTGTAATAGACAGGAGTGAAACATGTCAAGCTGACCTATGTACATACATGAAAAAAGACATATGGTAACCAAAACACTGAAATGTACATTATATGGACAGAAGTATTGGGACATACCTCCTAATCATTGAATTCAGGTGTTTCATTTAGACCCATTGCCACAAAATCAAACACCCAGCCATGCAATTCAGTTTTCAAATTTGTGAAAGAATGGGTGAATTCAAGCATGGTACTGTCATAGGATGACACCTTTTTCAATAAGTCAGTGCTTAAAATATCTTCCCTGCTAGAAATATCTTAATGATGTAAAGACCTGGATGACTGAAAACTTTTTAAACATTAAATACTCAGCAATCTAAGGTTCTGTTGTTTGCTGGCAAATTTGTGGATAGGAATGCTATAATCTCCTCACTCCACTCCAAGGGGCTGAACTTTTCCCTCAGCAGCTCAGCCCTTAACCTTGGCGTCATCTTAGATACAAGCCTCTCATTCAAATCGCATGTGGATGCTGTATTGAAGGTTTGCTTTCTACAGCCATCTTTTCTATAATTCTATTCTATAATGTTAGTATGCCCAAGGGTGACTGGACAGCCAGTTGACCTTGGACCCCTAGAGGTTTTTTTCTCCCTACTTGAGCGTTTGTTGATTATAATGCAGGCTGCCCCATGCTTTCCAGTATACCATACTGGGAATGGAATGTCCTGTCGTGATTTTGGTTTGATCCATAATAATAATATTTGAATACTGATTATATTTAAATTGCGTGGCAGTAGGGGTGTGGCTGGTCAGGTTAGGATGCTGTGCCTCTGACTGGAAGGTCGCTGGTTCCAATCCCAGTGTCTGTAGAATAGTTTCACCATTGTGTGCCTAAGTGAAGCCATTAACCCCAATAGCTTCTATGACTAGTGCCAACATAAGAAAAGACACTCATACATAAGCTGAACATTTACTCTAATTAATAAAACAGCAGATGAAATACTACATCAGATGGAAGATATTTATTAGTAGCAAACTGTTAAAGGACACTTGTGCAACTATGTGCAATTACACAATTTCTAAATCAACAGAAAATGTACTCTACTACTAAAATGATAGTAAATGGTATTGTGCTGCCTGAAAGTTTAAGAATATCAAACAAAGGTTAGACCTACTTAAAGTAGGAGTAGCCTCCTTAGCAAGCCACTGGTCGCTGATTTAAAGACCTCATCAGTGTCCAAACACCTTTCAAAGCTTTCAGTTTACCAGTCGATCTACATTCCTACCCTCACCTATGGTCATTAGCTCTGGGTAGTCACCAAAAGAAAGAGATCATGGATACAAGAGGCAGAAATGCGTTTCCTCTACAGCAGGGGTCTCCAACTCCAGTCCTGGAGAGCTACCGTCCAGTAGGTTTTCTATCCTACCTGGCTTCTGATGAGCCACACCTGTTCTCAGGTAAATGCCAGGAGCAGGTGTGGTTCATCAGAAGCCAAGTGGGACAGAAAACCTACTGGATAGTAGCTCTCCAGGACCGGAGTTGGAGACCCCTGCTCTACAGGATGTCTGAGCTCAGCCTTAGAGATAGGGTGAGGAGCTCAGACATACGGGAGGGTTTCCAAGTAAAGCCGCTGCTCCTCTGCATCGAACGGAGCCACTTGCGGTGGTTTGGGCATTTATCTATAATGCCTCCTGGATGGCTCCCTGGGGAGGTGTTTTGGGTTTGTCCAACTAAAAGGAGGCCCCAGTGCAGACCCAGGACACGCTGGAGAGATTATATCTCTCGGCTGCCCTGGGAACGCCTTGGTATTTCCCCAGTGGAGGAGGTAGCTGGTGAGAGAGAGGTCAAGGCATCCCAGCTTAGACTGCTGACCCTGTGACCTGACCCCAGATAAGCAGTAGAAAATGGGTGGATGGATGATTCTAAATGTCTAAGTGTTCACAACAAAGCAGGTTTGTACCATTATAGGAGGGGCTGTCAGCTTTTTTCTGAGAGATACTGTCTTATACCACTTTTCATTGATTTGCTACACGCATGAGCATTTCTTTATGAGAATTTGAAAGGGTGTGTGCAGCAGCTGGACAGACCCGGAGACACCACTAGCCCACTGGAAATCTCCGGATGCTCCTGATAGCCCTGCTGTGATTAATATAGCATCTGAGATTTTTCAAACGTGTTCACACTTCTGGAAACAAAGTGTAATAGAAATATATTGCAGATCTGTAATGTCCAGTAAAATCTTGTTCAGTACATAGAAAGTGAAACATATGAAGGATATTTAAATAATGGAAATTGTTAACAAAGAAATACCCACTTGTGTTGTGTTTGAGTCTTCAATAGTTCCACATCTTGCCTGGTGAAAGAAAAACTTTATGGTAAAATCTTTTTACAGATCTCATTCACATACCCAGTATTTAAAACCACACTAAATATTTAATTCTGTAAAGATGCATGGATGCTAAATACCAGCATCCTCATTCTGTGTGACATACCTTGCTACACAATCCCCTCATGAACTCAATCTACACTGAACTGATGCCTGGTGGAATTACCTTTTACATTACATTTACTCATTTATCTGATGCTTTTATCCAAAGTGACTTTTACACCATATGGTGAGGTGTAAAGACAAAGAGAGAGGATAGATAGAGGTTATACTACATTCAGGATCAATCTGGAAGATGCCCACATACATAATATTGCAATATTACTCTGTAATGTTACCTGGGAGGAAATGATGGGATGGATGTCCGTCACAAAATCGTGTTTCGCTTCACTTGCAAAGCAGAAGGTAACATTGACTGGTAAAGGTATAGAACCCAAGTTCTTCACCTACAGGATTAAGTGAGATGTGAGATCATTACAGTTTTCAAGATTGTTTTGGACCTTCATGACTATCAAACAAATTAAGTTGAGCATCTATGCAATATTTACACTATATGGACAAAAGTACTGGGAGACAGCTCTTAATGAATGAATTCAGGTGTTTATGTTCAGATACACTGCTACAGATAAATGTAAAAATGCTAAGTGGAAGCTTTTAGAAGCAATAGAAAGTCAGCCATAAAGTGGCAGACCACATAAATGAGTCAATGAGTGTGGAGGAGCACAGTGCGTAAAAGTCGCCAACACACTGTTGATTCAATAACTGCAGAGTTCCAAGCATCCACTGGCATTAACCCCATGCACAAAAACCATGCACCAGGAGTGTCACAAAATGGGTTTCCATGGCAGAGCTGCTGCATGCAAGCCTCACATCACCAAGCGCAATGCCAAGTGTCAGATGGAGTGGGGTAAGCATGCTGCCACTGGACTCTGGAGCAGTGGAAATGTGTTCTGTGGAGTGACAAATCATTCTTCTCCATGAAGCAGTCTGATTGACGAGTTTGCCGGGTGTCAGGAGAATGTTATGTACTTGACTGCATTGTGCCAACTGTAATGTTTGGTGGAGGAGGGATAATGGTATTGGGTTGTTTTTCAGTGGTTGGACTAGACCCCTTAGTTCCAGTGAAGGGAACTATTAATGCTTCAGCATACCAAGACATTTTGGAAAATTCTGTGCTTCCAACTTTGTGGGAACAGTTCAGGGAAGGTCCTTTTCTGTTCCAGCATGACTGTACCCCAGTACACAAAGCAAGGTCCATAAAGACATGGTTGGGTGAGTTTGGTGTGGAAGATTTTGACTGACCCACACAGAGCCCTGATCTCAACCCCATCAATCAACTTTGGGATGAACTAGAATGCAGACTGAGAACCAGGTCTTCACATCCAACATCAGTGCCTGACCTCAGAAATACTCTTTTGGATGAATGGGCAAAAATTCCCACAAACACACCCCAAAAACTTGCAGAAAGCCTCCTAGAAGAGTGGCAGCTGTTATAACTGTAAAGGTGGGACCAGCTCCATACTGATGCCTATGGATTTAGAATGGGATGTCATAAATTTCATGTAGGTGTAATGGCCAGGTGCCCCAATACCTTTGTCCATATGGTTATATCTGTAGTTTTACCTTTTCATTGTAGTTACAGCATTCAATGCAACTTCTTATAATAACAAATGGTGATGCTTTATATGATCTTCATGGTACACTAATGCCATTACAGAATATTAAAAATATTACCTCAAAAACATGAATCACATCTTTTCCTTCTTTGTCATTTGGAGTGAAATTAAGGTACATCACAGAGTCTTCATCAAGACTTTGGAAAGAAGCATAAATTTGTTATATCTAACTGGAGTAACACACAAACATGGTATAGTTATAAATCAATAATAATAATATCAATTATCAATTATTTATTATTTTTTCATTATGAAACAAAGCATGTCCCCAACTTACATTTTGACTGCAAAGTCAACACCAAACTGAACTTGGAGACCTTTTGTTACTGTGTTATTGGAAGATTTCCCATTGTCACTGTAGAAACAACAGTGAAATACATTTAACACCATTGCGAAATATACTGGGTATAAAAGTGAATTACAGAAAGAGCCCATTGATTATGTTTGCAAAGCATAAAGTCCATACCTGTAAGGTGTGATGTCCATCTCCATTTTATCACTCCAGTTGTACTTATTACAGATACGGAACATAGTTTGAAAAACAGCCTAAAAGGAAGGATTGAAAAAGAGACATTGACACAAATAATGGCTGTTTGGCTAGTGTTGCATTTTTTATCGATAATTCGATAATCTTTTAAGATGTTAATTTAATGTTATATCGAACAATTACCAAATAATCAAAATCTAAGTGTACAGACAAATAACAATAAAAGTAAATATTTATTTAAATGACTCAGTGAGCTCCTATCACTGTCTTATACTGATGCCAGTAATTCATATATTAAAATTATGATACACATGGGGTTGATACCAGCTATCGTACACATAGAGCATTAAAGTTGAATTTCAGCATTTCCATTTTTCAGACAAAACAAGTATAAATCATAAACCTAACATAACATAAAAACATAAACTTATGTGTCCATTAGTAAATGAATTTAAACTGAAAATGCCCTAAACATGAAAAAACAAATTTCACCAATGAAATAACAGCCTCTGTCACAACCCATGAAAACCCATGAAAAGTTTGTTAAGAACAAATTTCATATCTTATTACATTTTATAACTTTGCTGTAAAATACCAATTCCAAAATATTAACAATAAAATGATGTCTCAGGGGTAGCTTGAATTCTCTATTCACCCATCTTCCAACTGCTTATTCCATACTGGGACTACCCCAGGAAGAACAGGGTGCGTGGTGCCTAAGTAACTGTCCATACCATGGTCTTGCTTGCGTAGACAGGACGGCTCACACTGCATTCTGTCTTGTCATTCATATCATCCACGCCACGGCAGTTGGTGAGAGTTTTCCTTGTTTCCTGTCAAATATATTGATATTTCATGATATGTCAACAAAACTAATGTAATTTTAGATTAAAAACAGATTTTTAAATGCACACTGTGTCTTAGGCTGGTATAAATTACCTTTATAATGGATATCTTTGAAAAAGACAGACCAGGCGGATAGCCAAAGATCAGGCTGGTGTTGAAGGAGTCATCCCCTTTGTTGTACAAGCTCACTGTCAGGTTGAAATAATCCTGGTCGATCACCAGCAGTGTAGGAGTTCTGTGGAGACGCGCTCATTCAGACAGAAAAGCTGAATTGTTCAACTCATTAAAGTATTATTTAAAATCAATGAAAATACTTAAGATTAATGCCATAAATAATCTACAAATATAAAACAGGATGTGAGGAAAATATGATGTATTATTTCATGTTACTAGGCAGCATGAAGTGCCCTTAAATACCTAGATGATGAAGTGATTTTTTTGCATTCATTTGAATTTTTTTGTGCATTCAAATGATTTTAAATGAAAAATACATACAGCAAAGAGTGTTTCAAAGCAGCCACATAATTTAGTTTATGGTTTTATAAAATGATTCCCCATCCAGTCCAATTCAGTTATTATTCATTAGCCATGATCCAGCTGAATGTTCTAAATAAAGGCAACTCTTGCAATGGTCTCAAAAGATGCCGAAGATTTCTTTTAAATACAAGATCTCTCAAAAACAAGTACATTTTCAATTCTAATATCTGTGGTGAATAACTGCTTTACATTAATCAGCTTACATCTTGTTCTCTTTAAAGGTATGTGGTAAGTCTGTCTTTGGACAGCTTCATTAGCGGTCAATTTCAATTCCCATTCAGGGCTATCATGTAGTTTGTCATCATCTCCCTGCAGATACGTACGTGAAGTTGAAAGTCAGCTCCAAATCTGAGATGCATGTCGCATTTTGGCAGTTGCTCTGAAATGGAATCTGAGGTACAGACAGAGAGATCCTACATCATTATGGTTTGGTTTAAATTGCCAGATTTTCTCATAGTATACATGGAATAACAACATCAAATGTCAAAAACATAAGTAATCCTGAGGTAAAACTCAAGGCAATAAAACACAAAGGAAAGAAAGCAATTCTTGTGAATACATAAAAACAAGGGAATACACACACAGTACTGTGCTAAAAGTCAGGCAGTCAAAAGAAATGTTTAAGAAGTCCAAGAGGAATTGATTAGCTGTAGGAGGTGGGGTACTGGTTGTAATGTATTGTATGGTTGGTTGTTGCAAATACTGGGGTGATTTTAGGAGAGATTTTGAAGTGGCTAAGCTGACATACTTTAACAGACATATCATCATAGTTTTACTCCAAACATGAAGATCACTTGAGCAATATATATACACACACACACACACACACACATATAACGCCAACACAACATATACTGTGACGTACAGACTGAGACTGAAACAGCAGTAAATATTCAGGGACACAGACACAGCAAAACTGGTACCTCAAGTAAAGCCACAGTGACACTTTCAGGGTCGAGAACGGCCGTCCCTTCATCCCTGGCCTGGGAGTAGTTCATTTTGATGGAGATGGGTGACAAAGTATCCCTCACACAGCTCTGAGTTAGACAAGTGAGGACAAATTTAAAAGCAAAGCATTTTTAAAGCTTACAAGATTTCTCTTAATACATAATTCTTCATAATAATCCTATGTTCAAATAAATCATTGTCTCACTTTTCTGAGAGGTATTGGCCTGTTTTTTTAATAGACGCATGAGGTTACTTTCCTTTATCTAAGTAGACTTATGAGTTTTGACCTCTCAAAATGCTTCTACAACATCTGCAGGATCTGCAACTACGTCACCAGTGCTGTGACAGCATAAATATATCCATGTTTCATTTTCTCATTTCCCCTGGACTACAAATATTGGCAGCTTGCACCACAACTCAGTTCTGCCACCAGACTACAATCAAACCTCTGATTTGTACCTTCAGTTCAACTCAACAGTGGAACAACCTCAAGAAAGTCTTCTGAGTCTGTTACTCATAATATTATGAACTCTGTATGCTCATGAGTTATAAAGCTCTTTGAAAAATATGCATGCTATGTAAATCAATACACTTTAAACTTCATAATAAATACAAGTTTTATGAAATTTAAATAGTAATGTTAAATAATTCATGTGGATATTATAAATATAATGAAAACTGGTGAAAAATAAATCATTTCATTAAAGTAAATTAAATATTTCATACAAGCATTAGTTGCTGTAGTGTTATATGCAAAGCTGCAAAGGCAAATTAATGGAATGTGATTTTTTCCCCTATTCTTTTTCTTTATCAATACTAATTGCCCATCTTTGTACTACCTCCCCCCCACGTTTCCCTTTGCCCTGTTATTCCTGCCCTCCCCTCTCCTCCCCTCCACTGATTAGGCTTACTGACGCACAGGCATGTAAACAAGATGCGTTTTGCACTGTATGCCGAGCTCCATTTTCATGTAATTCTGCTCTTTCCTGGCTGATTTATCAAAGTGGTCCAGAAAGGCTCGGCTTCTTTGTCTCGTACTGTCCAGATTCAGCTCATAGGACACATTCATCCATGGCAAAGCGCCCCCTAAGGGTGAAGCAGAGGTATCATCATTTTCATATTATTCATTGTGTTCTGCCTGCTTTCACCAGAAGAACTATATTACATACAGTACAAACATTTTATAGTGTAAAAATGTTTACCCCCTCCTGGATATATTTAGTTATACAATGGGATGGAAATAAAGTGTGGTGTTTCTTTCAGTGTTATGATGAGGAAAGTAATCAGACAATAAAGTCAGCTGTCTGAATAGCTTGGTAAATCTAAACTCTGATTTGGCTCAGCACAAAAGTTCTAGATGTCTTTGCTGAAAACTTCCAATAATGAGCCAAGAAAGGGTTACATAACCACATTCATGGTTATGAACCAAATATCAAAATGGACGAAGCTACAAGGTGCAGAGATGGATTTTAGATGCTGCATCAGGACCTGGAGAACTTCCCACCACAGGAGAGTTACAGTATCACTCTTAGCCACAATCTTAGTGATGTCAGGCCATTCATAATGTTTATGTCAGGGGATTGTAAGGGCCAGGTCATATGTCATAGCACTCCATCCCTTTCCTGGTTCACGATATAATACTTAACACATAACCCCAAAGTGTGCTTATCTTGTTGAGAAACAAATGATTTTCAGTAGGTGTGTCCGGAGTTTTAACTGGTACTGTATGTATTGAAATACAGATAATATTAAACAAGGCAACAAGATCAGCAAGCTTAACACAAAATACATCATCAGCATATACACTGTTCAAAAAAATTAAAGGAACACTTTTTAATCAGAGTATAGCATCAAGTCAATTAAACTTCTGGGATATTGACGTGGTCAGTTAAGTAGCAGAGGGGGTTGTTAATCGGTTTCAGCTGCTTTGGTGTTAATGAAATTAACAACAGGTGCACTAGAGGGGCAACAATGAGACGACCCCCAAAACAGGAATGGTTTAACAGGTGGGGGCTACTGACATTTTTCCCTCTTCATCTTTTCTGACTGTTTTTTCACGAGTTTTGCCTTTTTTTACAGTCAGTGTCACTACTGGTAGCATGAGGCGATACCTGGACCCTACAGAGGTTGCACAGGTAGTCCATCTCCTCCAGGATGGTGCATCAATACATTCCATTGCCAGAAGGTTTGTTGTGTCTCCCAGCACAGTCTCAAGGGCATGGAGGACATTCCAGGCGACAGGTAGTTACTCTAGGAGAGCTGGACAGGGCCATAGAAGGTCCTTAACCCATCAGCAGGACCAGTATCTGCTACTTTGTGCAAGGAGGAACAGGATGAGCACTGCCAGAGCCCTACAGAATGACCTCCAGCAGGCCACTGGTGCGAATGTCTCTGATCAAAGAATCAGAAACAGACTTCATGAGGGTGGCTTGAGGGCCCGACATTCAACTACTGAGTATGATTTTGAGTTGCTGCAATGAAATTTCGGCAAAAAGGACTAGCCTGCTGCATCATTTTTTCACTTTGATTTTTGGGGTGTCTTTGAATTCAGCCCTTTGTAGGTTGATAATTTTCATTTCCATCAAACAATGTGGCATCCTTTCATTCCTAACACATTACCCAGTCCATATCAGTATAGATATCCAGCATGATTTTTTTCCCATTGAGATCTGATGTGTTTTCAAAGTGTTCCTTTAATTTTTTTGAGCAGTGTACTTAATCAGAACTTAATCAGTTGACACTCTGTCATCCATCAGTAGAAGAAATACCAGGTCATGTGAGCAAGCTTAATGAATTCAATTCTGCATTAATTCTACTGCCAAAATTCAGTGGTACATTGTATCATACTGTTGTTGTGCTTACCTGCAGCATTTTCTGTGGACTCAGTTACATTAAAACAGATAGTCAAGTTTACTATATTAGATATGCTCTCCATTTCAGTCAAACAAACAAATCTATCACTGCTAATCTTTGGAGGACTAAAGGTGACGTTGGCTGATACTTTTAGAACTGGCCTGGACCTGAAAGGGCAACAGAAGCAGTAGAATGTTGTAAGTACTGTAGCACAAAAAGAAAGAGATAGTCGTCAACTATTGCCATCATCATCATCATCATTATATAACCCCTCAGATCTTGAATCAAATTACAATATAATGTCATAGCCTGATAATTATCTTTTATTTTTATTGAAATCCTACTTACTTCATGAATCTCATGAATCATTTAAATGTTTTTGATGCTGATTAAAAATGTGGTAGTTTTATGGGAAAATGACTTTCCTACAAACAGTAATTTGATTTGTGTTAGCTGAACTCACTTTAACAATATAACATTCCCTTTTGATCCAACCACAATGTCAATCAGTCCATCATCTCCCTGGTCCATCTTTCCATCAACTGACAGGCCAAAGAATTGTAGTTTAGAAGACACCTTCTGGGCTGTAATACGCTAGGGTTGAGTAACCACAGTGTTAGATTCTCCCAATTTACAAGTCATTTTAAAGTTTCTTATTTTCTTGAGAACAGAATTTCTCTGTGATCTCTAAGCTGTTGGTACCCTACCTGAAAAAACTGAGTTTGAATGCCTTTGAGTCTGTCTCCCAAGTAGATATACACTGCCCCCTTCTGGTCATCTTCTAGCGGTGCCCCAACAGCAACATCTTGCAACCTATCCCCATTCAAATCTTTTAATGATGAAATGGAGAATGCAAATCTACCCTGAGATGTCCCAGAGACATTAATTTGTAGGGTCAATTTCAGCTGAAAAAGACAAACGAAGAAAGAAAGAAGGAATAATGTTAAAAACAAACAAAGAAATAGGTCATTAACAATCCCAGAAAACATCTCTCTCACTCATATATAAAATGACAGAAAATAAGTAATATTTTACTTTTTTTGGCCAGGGGGGGGGGGATCGGTTCAGGAGGAATTACCTGAGGGATTGCATGAGGGAATTTGATACCTATATTTTATTAATTCAGTACAGCAATGGAGTGTGATTACTGTCATAACTAACTGCAATTTAATTTAATTATTAAAAAATTTAATTGAGAACATAATTTCATAGGCAGCATCTTAATATTCCAAATACACATCCTATTTTCAAAAAGATACAGGGTGAATTGACATTTCTGAGATCACATTCACTAACGCACTACAAACTCACTATGTATCTACAATGCATGCCAAGTAACACAGCAATCTATTACAGTGGTGCCTGCGGTTCACGAACGCTGTGGTCTACAAACAATTCAATTTGGTTCACGAGCAAAAATTTTATGAGTAAAAAATGCATTGGTTCACATACAAAATTTGGTTGACAGACAGATTCCTTTTCTTTTTATAGTATTGTAGCACCGGCGGGGCACATGTCCCAGCATGCCCCAGCATATCCCAGCATGCCCCACATGCAATTGTAAATAGAAGGACCACAACTGGCACCCAACGAGCACTGAACCCAAATACACAGACGGGAAACACAAAGTTGTAAGATGCCGAACTGCAAGATGCACATATGGTGGGAGATTAACACACGCTAAATACACGTGTGGATCAGACCTGGTACACACAAGACATGGGCAAACACACGCGCGACAATAGGGAAACGTAACCATTAACATTAACATTAACAACAACAACAACAATACAAGGGTTAACCCACACCTGTTCCTCATCTAGCCCATGTTATCTGTGTACGAATGTACTTGCCTGTGCCCTGTCCCATTGTTGACTATTTCATGTATTTGGTGTTAGATATTCCCTGCTGTTAACCTGGTTCAAAGTCTGTGTAATTACTTTGTTTCCTCATTAGTTCTTGTGTTGCCTTTCTGTCTTTGTTTTACCTCCCTATGGTCCCTTTTACACTGCCCGTCCAAAAAAAAAGTCGCCATTTGAATTTCTTGTTGGGCAGCCTTTAGCTTTGATTATGGCACATATTTGTCATTGCATTGTTTCCACAACCTTATGCAACATCTCATCCTTTATTTTCATCCAGATTTGCATTCATTTCTCACCACGATCCTGTATTGACAAGTGAGTTGAACTAACTGTTACTTAAAGAATGAACATTACCTCAGAAGACATGCTGTAGACGTACATCCTGCCCTCCTTTTGAGGTTCGTGAAATAGAGGAGCCCCCACCAGAAGAAAGTCTGTTTCATCATCAGAGTCTATGTCTAAAGCACACAGCGCTGCTCCAAAATATGAACCAATCTGAAGGACGCAGATGTTACAATTAAGAATCAGGAGAAAACATACAGTATCAGTCAAAAGTCTGGACATATAAACTGAAATTCATTAGTTTTTCAACAAGATAGCAACCCTAAGCACACTTTGAGGTTATGTAGTAAATATTATCTTTTAAACAAGGAAAGAGATGGAGTGCTGTGACAGATGACCTGGCCCTCATAATACCCTGAAGTAAACCCTATAGAGCTGGTTTAGGATGGGTGGATCGAAGAGGAAGAGCAAGGTAGCCAACTTTTGTTCCGGAATTTGTGGAAACTTTTCAAGACTTTTGGAGAAGCATTCCAGGTGACTACATCTGGAAGGTGGATGAAATAATCATGGAAGAAACAGGGGCTATTTCGAAGAGCTTAAAATTTAATATAATGCTCTTGGTTGTTGGAATATTAGTTCATTGCCTTGGGGCTTTTTCCATGAGGTGAATAACATAGCTAAAATAAAGACAAATGCATTAAAAATAAATCTGTCCAGGCTTTTGACCGGTACTGAGGCTGACAGCACTTTTGGTACTTTATTATCTTATACGACACATATTTACATTTTAAGTCACAGTTGAATACAGGAGATTTTTTAAAAAAGAACAAGTGAAGATATTAATTATTATACTAACCTGTTGCCCAGTTTCTCTGTATTTCACTGTCCAATTTGTATTACTCTTGTAAAACACTACAACTTGCCCTTTATGGCGAAATCGTGGCGCTCCGGAAAAATATACTTCGTTATTATTTTTCTTTCCTGCTGCCACTGAGTATCCTACAAACAACATAAAAGCCACACATTCAATCAACTAACAAACAAAAACACAACATCAACAGAATGTACCATATTGAGAAGTACAGAGAAGAATATACCAGTTCTATTATGTTTCTAAATTAAGTTTATTTGAAGAACTCTACTGGAATACAGGCAGTCCCTATGTTCCTTAAGTCTGTATTTAAGTCAAATTTGTACGGACTTAAAGTCGGAAAAATAATACAGAACATAATAATTTTACAATAATAATAAAAGTACATATGGTACTGTACTATACCTCAAGCCGAAAAACTGCTGAAGCAACGCATTCATTATTATGCACCATTATATTTAACCCAAATGTTTAATATAATAGGCTTTTTGGCAGTTAGATGTTCCAACAATTCAGTGACAACTAGAACTAATATTCAGACATTCTGCCTGCCTGATCTTTATCATAGTACCGTTACCCAGCTTAATAGCCGTGTATTACCCATGTAGGAGTTCTCCTCCATTTCTGAGTCTTTAATTTCTTCATACTTGCTTCCTGAGATCTTGATTTCAGTTAGAGAGCCTCGCCAATCATCAGATCCTACTGATCCCAGAACTAAGCTGTCCTGCAGAAATAAATGCATTGAAGCTTTCAAATATGAATTTAATGTTTGATGCTCAATTTGCTCTTGGATTTTTGTTATATTTGAATCATGCTAAATAATATGAATTATCTCTCAATGGGCCTCTCATATATACACCTGCCCAGAATAGGAATAGGAAAACACTCAGATCATAATATCTGGCATTTCCTCAGCTTTTGTAACTGTCAGCATTGGGATGATCAGCCATATTTAAAATGAACTTAGATATTTTTCAGATATTATTCAGATATGCTAGTCTAAATGCAGTGTGTATAGAATGTTTTGCAGTCCTGCAATATACAGCTGAATAAAGGAATGTAAGATTTCAAAGACAAAAACAGATAATGTAAACTAAGTGTAATTGTTTTGTACAAGACAGCCCCCAGATCAGTTAATACTTAGTGGAAGCATCTTTTGCTTGCATTGCAGGTTTGAGCCTGTCAAGGTACATCTACACCAACTTGACTGATCCAGAGGGAGAGATATTTGCCTGTTCCTTTTTGCAGAATTGCTCCAACTCAGTCAAACTACTCGATAACTGTTGTTAGACTGCCCTCATCAAGTCAATCCACATTGACCCTATTGTCTGGGTGGTGCTGTACAGTATCTCTTCCACTTTTGGAAAATGGTATTCACGGTGCTCCAAGGGGTCATTAAAGACTTTGAGATCATCTTACACTCTTCTCCTAACTTGTGCCTTTCTGCAACATTAACTGAATTTTTTTTTTATGTACTTTTCCACCCATGGTGGATTTAAAAAAGCAAAGTTTATCCAAAAACGTTGGTATATTTAATCACGTATGGGCATTAATTGTCATGTCTCGTTATTGTGTCATTGATTGGTCGTACCTGATTGGTCGTAAAGCTGCAGTTGCATTTTGCAAGTTTGCTTTTTCAACCACGGAATTTCAACATTGGAATTTTAATTAATTGGCATAATTTGTGATTTTTCTTTCAAGTGACTGTGATGCATTATTGCTTGTAAATTGTATTTATTTCAATTTTAAGGTATTTCACTAAAAAGGTATGAAATCTGAAAGGAGGAAGTAACTTTCTATGCCCATTGTATACAACAAATAATAAAAATAGCAACTTCAATGATACAGTTGAAAGGGTGATAATGACATCTTTGCTTTATCATTAAATGAATAAATAATTCACGTTTGATCATTAAAAGAAAAAATAGGGTCTCACCTCAAAATATACAGAACTGAAGCCACTCTGTGACATTTCTTTTGTGAATTTCTTGCTAAGAGCATTTTTGGTACCTAGAATGAGGACAAAGTGGAGTTTACATCAGGAAGAAAGAAAACATACAATGTGTATAGTCCATCCATCCATCTTCTGAAACCACTTGTTCTATTCAGTGTGTTTCTCTGAATGTGTTCCTCTGAACACATAAGACTAGATGCTGTTGGCATGAGGGCAATGCATTCCACCCTTCACACTTCCCTCACCTCTCCAAAAATAATCTGTAATCTGGTTCACATAATCTGTGTCTGTATCTGTTCTTTCATGTGGCACTGGTTCAGTACTGGTGATATTTGTCTCAAAATGAAATTGCATGAAACCCTTCCCTTTGCTGCCACTAAGCAGGACTGCTTTAATTTTGGCTTGCTATATCTCAGATTTGATCACTTCCAGATTTTCAGCCATACAATGTGCCTGCAAAATTTGAAAATAATCCATCAAATACTTCCTGAGCTATCATCCTAAGTGTCTACAATGGCAGTGGTAAACTGAATAAAACTTTAAATAAACATATAACCTGAGCTGTAACTTTTCAGTGTTCTCCTAAGCTAATTACAAACCAAGTAAATAGACCAGCAGATATACTACAAAAGGGACTGGGTATGTGGCTCATCAGGTTAGGAATTGACCCCGTGTTCAGAAGGTTACCAGTTGAAAATCAGAGCTAGCAGACTGATGCCACTGTTAGACTTAGCCCCCAAATTGCTCCACCTGTATGACCCCCAAGCTTTCTCTCACACGTACTGTATATATGTCTGTGTCTCATGAAGAGCATGATGGGATAGGCCAAAAGACAATGTCACCATTCTATAAATGCTTTAGCGGTACCACCTAAAACCTGATTTTAAAGTGAAATATACACATCAACTGACTTCTAAACCACAGCAAGTCCAAGAGGGGAAAATGTGCCCAAATGTGTGCCACATAATTTGAAGGATGCTTGGCTTTCATGTAAGAAAATGAAACATTTATTATAAATTTATAATTGAATGTTACAATCCAAAATGATGCATGTGATCAATTATATAAGAATTATATAGCACAATAGTGTATAGAAATATATTAGTATATACAAATATGTCAGGATCAGTCCCTGTCTTGTCAGTCTTTTCCCCATTTGGCCAACAGGTGTCACTGGCCATCCCATCCTTTTCTCCGTTTTTCCACAGCTTTAGCACCCTTCACAGTTTCAAGAGTGTTCCCTTTCTCCCTGGTCTGCTGTGTAACTGAATGGGCTGAGCTTGCAGCTAAGAACTCTGTAACTATGTTTCCCTACCTTCATGGGTTTCTTTGTTATTTCTTTTTCTCAACTTTGTTGCCCCATGTTCTCTATGCTCTGCTCTTTATGTATTTCTGTATTGGTTCTTGTTTTTGTGTTTTTCTTAATTATCTCTGCTTTGATCCAATTCTGTAATGATGTCCTGTATCTTTGTTCCTAATGTCTCCTGGTGTGAGTCCCAAGTGCTCGTTAAATCACCCTTACCTGTTCCTTGTTTCTTCTAGTTCCCAGTGATTGGTTGATTACTAATGGCTAATGATAACCAAAATGACACTTCATGAACCACTGGCAGTATATTTGACCTCACCACTTGGAATTCTGAGTTTGCTTTGAGGAATATTTGAGCCCGTTTTTGAACAGAGAACCCCATCAAGACTTCCGCACACTGCTGTATTTGCAAAGATAACATAAAATAACTGTACATTAATCACAAGTTTAACCATTTATAATAAGGCATTACCTTCAACGTCATAAATTTTATTTTGCAGCTTTTCTAAGAGACTTGTCAGTTGTGTAAAGCTATTAACATGAAAAATATTTTCAGTGTCGGATGCCAGTATTCTTATCCCTTCATAAACTCTTTGATCCTTCTTGCGCTCCACCTGTAATATTACAGAGAAGACTGATCAAGATCAGACAATATTTTGTTCTAGTTAGGATAACAGACTGTTAATGGGAAGGCTTGCAGTAGTACTACAGCTAGATCAAAAACAGGAGTGTCATTTTCTAACAGGACCAGTTGGCAACAGGCCACGTAGATGCAGTAGCTGTGTTAACAAACTGGAAAATAAATCCGTATTGTATTTACAGTACAGAGATGAGATCAACTTCAAAACACTAAAAATAACACTAAAGAATATTTAGGGAAAGTGACATTTCATACATATTCATTTAATGTAACATTTAATTAAATTCCAGGTAACTTCAGTGGTATCCCAATAACTCTGAGCACATTCCTAAACACCTCAATATTGTTTTGTTTACGTAATTTTTAATGCCCCTTTTCAGTACTTTGCTTTACCAACAGTTTGCATAGACATTTACCTATTTTGCATGTCATTTGAAAAGGATTGGCATTTTCATTGATTCAAATTCATTCAGATAGTCTAATGAATTGTGATCTTTGTTCTCAATTTTAAAATGTACTGTAAAGAATACTCAGACTTGAACGACCCTAAGGACTTCTTTTGGCACCATATAAAAACACAATATTGCATTAAAGACACTGTTTTCAAAATGGAATTTAAATGCGGAATTTAACTTTATTTCAAATACTAAATTATGTCAGATGTTTCCTTTAATGGTGTTGGAATAGATTGGTTGTATTACCTGTGGAAGTGCTGACTGAAGCTCAACAAAAGTTTGTGGATAATTAACCAGTGACATATATTTACTAGACCTGCTATCATGTGACTGCAAGTGCAAAAATTTAACTGCCATTTTGGAGAAGTCGATGCAATCCTTCACACTGTGCAGCTTTTGGCTGCAAAAACAGGTGTGGGTCCTGCTCCAGTGATATAACTTTCCACCAGTCGGTGTGTTAACTGATCATTGTATATTTTTGTATTGACAGTCATACAGTCGTACAGTTACAGACATACATTTTGCAATCTTCGGAATAGCAGTGGACAGCATACTTGTCAGCCAATATACTGATTATAATTCCCATACGGTATGAATTTTTAATATACCACCATACCGTAGCGTAGCTGAAATGACAGATGATACTGTGTGTATAATATATTAAAATATATTATATTTTGCTTGGACTGCTGAATGCATTATGTTTTATTACTTATTTATTTTGTGCAGCAGTAAATTATTAATATACTCTTAAACTGTTGGTGTTTGCGAAGTTTCAGTGACATTCAGAATTTTAGTTGATGGTATTTATGATGTCAGCCATGTTTAGGCTGTCGTGGAAATACCTGTTGGCATTTTTATTTTACCAATAAGGAAGAACTATTACTTTAAATTAATGTTTCTTTATCTGAAAATCAGCCTAATTCAGCATAATATGTTACCAGATCGCCACTTACAAACTTTCCATCACACTTGCATATATCACACTGAGAAATACTGATAATGTGTTATTGGGTGCGGGTATCTAAATTGGAGAAAATAATTAGCGGATTGGTAGCGGGTGGATGATTGAAACGCCCATACTGATCTGGATGGCAACAGAGCTGATCCGCGCATCATTTAACTATTTACACACAAACACACACATATACACGCTTACAATACTTTTATATCAATGTCCATCCCAGTTTTGGTTATTTTTCAAAACTAATGTCTAATGATTTCTTAATCATATTCCAGATATAAAGTAATAATTTTAACCGAAGGTCGTCTCCTTTGTATGAAATTTGCAAGAAAATCATGTGTTACTTCTATTGTTTTATGTACATATATATACACAGTATAGTTTGCAATAAAACTGTGGGATGAACAGATCAGACAATACCAGAAAAGATAATGTGGTGCAGACATGTTAGGGGCAAATCAGGCAGCTAGTATGGACTGGGTAGTACCACGTTTGATTTGTGCATCATTCACAAACCAACAGAATGACTTTGTATTAGAAGGCTCTGCTGACTGGCCAAGTTATATCATGTGTATCACATGTGACGTTTGGAAGTATAAAAGATCATAATGTCTACAATTTGCATGCAAAGTAGACTGTGGACATGTTCGAGATCGATCACAATATAAGATTGTCAGATTGCCTACCCCTAGTTGTGCATATCTTTGATTACATCACAGTATCTCACATCTTACCAGAACGACAAAACGGATGATTTTTCTGTCCTTAGTTTTTTTGATAACATGGTTTTCATCAATGTCATTGGGTAATCCATCTGTAATGATGAGCAGAACCTGAGAGGCACCTTGCCTGGCACCAGCTTCTGGGGTCAAAACATTATTTCTGGAATAAAAAGTATGTTAGAGTTTCCTAGATATAGGCAGTAGTTATAGTCAATCTAAATGTGCAATACAATAAATATTATGTTTCCGATTCTTTGTGGTGGCTTTCTGCAAATTAAACTTTGTTTAGGCTATGCAGAAGCTCCCACAGTTTGTTGTAGTTCCTATAGTCACTATAACCACCATAAACATTAGCTTAATGTAGTTTTGCCGGCCACAACGTTTTTGGGACTAGCAGCAAATAGGAGATAGAGGTTGTCACCATGGCTAAAATTTGCCGTGTTGTGTCCTGCACCATCAATATTAAAATGTAACCACACATTCCATTCTTCTTGCTACCAAATTGGAAAAGGGGGGGCAAGAGACAAATTTTATGGCTTCAGGCTATTCAGGGGAGGACCCTAAGTCGTAAGTCGACCTGTATACTACATTTACTACATTCACTATATAGTGAATGAAATTTACAGTTGAGAATTTGACCACCACTGCAAAATGGTTGATTCACTATATAGTGGACTATATAAGAGACGAGGGGACATTCTAAATAGAGCGTGCATGCAGTGCAGTTAGGCTATTTTTACGTTGTTGATTGAAGCACTTAGATATGGGCAAATTGTTGAGGACTTCATTTAGCAACTGGATGGAATTATAACTGTCACTGAAAAATAACTAGCCTATATTAATTCATATAATTACTGTTTGTTTACCTCAATAGCCAGAGAGGGAACATGGATTAGGGACTGAAGCGAAAAGAGGGGAGTCATGGAAACGTAAGTGTTCAGGCAAGGGAGAGGAGAGGGCAGAGGAAGGAGAGAAATATATGACAAAAAATGATTAAATGGTTTAATAATTTGTCAGCGCAACTCATGGAAACACCCCCAAGTTATTTGATGAACTCTAATGGTAGATAACATCTAGTTGGCTAGTTTTTTTGGGATATTTCAACTCCTTTTTTGCTTTATAAGTATTGCAATATTAACATTGCAATATTTTAATATACACAATAAAAACTAATGAATGTTGGTGAAAATGAAATGATGTATACAAGCAATTCTTACAACCATCAGATCAGCCTCAAATTAAATCTTAAAAAGAAAAACTTTTGTAGAAGTGTCCTTTTTATATAATACAAAAATTAAACAGTCCTTTTGACAGAATACTAAAATCTTGGTCAAAAGAATTCATATACTCAAACACAATTTTACGTGACAATGAACTTATAGTGCTCAAATTCTTTTACTTACAAAGTATAATTAATTCCTTTGTAGGTGTTTCCAAGTATCCGCATCTGTGATTCGGCATCAAGTTTTATTTTTAACTCATTTTTCGCATCCTTAAAATTGAAAACTGTTCGGGCTTTTTCAGAAAACTGAACTGCTGCAAACTAGAAAATAAAAACAGAAACTTCAGAATGTCTGTGCTGGATGGTTATAACCTGAATATTTCAAGGGATTTTATTAATTCAGGGACTTTGACTCATGAGACTGCAAACTATTTTTATTTTTTAAAAAAATATAGAATAATCATATAATAAACTGCAAACTAAAACAGCCATGCCTGATATTAATGCTGTTGTTGAGATGTTATGTTACAGCAGTAAACAGGAGGGCATCCCTGAAACATCATTAATGTCATTACATCAGGAAATCACAGTCTGCCTTCATGCACATTCATCCAGGCACATTCATTATGGTCTGAGGAATACAACCTGAAAGGAGGTCTTGGAAAGATTAGCCATGATCTCTTTGATAAATTCTTTGGTCATATTGAAATCATCTGCTGTTAAAGACTCCGACCCATCAAATAAGAAGACCAGGTCTGCTTGGTTTTTGGTGCATTCTAGGGCAGAAAAAGAAAAGTTTCATTATTCATTCATTATTTACATATGATTTCAATACCATTCTCAATTATCATATCCTACTGTGAAAAATGCAACCATTGTAAGGTATTACGAGCAGATTGTAATGAAGCAGTATCCATAGGCAGGGGCGCTGCTAGAGATTTTGGGCCCCATGAAAGCTTATCATATTAGGCCCCCCAGTCCAAACCAATCCAGTTATTTTCCTAATTTTTTAGGGCCCCTGTCACTCAGGGGCCCTTGGAATCGTCCTAGCTTTCCTCCCCCTTACGGCGCCCCTGTCCATAGGCAAATACAGTTATGAGAAATCAGTTGTTCCCCTTCCCCATTACTGCACAAAACCCCATTGCTGTAAATAACTCTGTACTTTTGTATTGTATTGTACTTATTGTATTTATTACATTTCTTGCACTGCACTCTTGCACTTTTTATATACTTACCAACCATAAGTGCAAATTGTATATATCAACCAAACTGTATGTCACCATTGTTTTGTTTTGTCTCACTGCATTTTCATCTACTGTATGTATGAGAGACACTGACAACCTGCAAAAAATTCCCTGTGTATGTGTGAGTATGCTGGGTCAATAAACATGATTCTGTTTGGGAAAAAGTTTGTGGAGCCTGGATTTCTGTATGAATTTAATTAGATCTTCATCTGCATTCCTTAAATTCTATAAACTCTGTTTATTAAGATCATATTCTAAGAGCCATTCATACAAAAATCCACAGAATTCCAAGTACAGAATTTTTTTTCTCACAGTTATAAAAACAGTAAGCTTACCACCATAAAAAGCAAAACCATTCAGAAAATAGCTTGGATTGCTCGATCATGATTGGTAAAAATACATTTGTCCATGAATTACATTACATTGCGCTTAGATCAATTGGATTACCTAGTTCAAATTTTAAAATTACACATTTGGTCAATACCAATACTAAACGAGTTTGTTGATGTATTTCAAGAGCAAAAAAAGGAATATGAGGAGATATTAAAGATTATCTGATACTTAAAAGCAATCTATTTTACAAAAGCAAAATATTACAAATATCTGAATTTGATACAAGAAACAGTGAATCTGCCATAGATATACTATCTTTTGTTTAGTTGTAATAAATCAGATTCTTTAAAAACTGACTTTTATTGTGCCAAAGATCCTTTGCTTCAGCTGATTTTTGGTGCAGCTAAGCTATGAATGTATCAAATGTCTGAGCCCTCATGGAATGAGTTATTATTATTAAATTATTGTTAAATTATAGGGGCAGCATGGTGGTGCAGTGGTTAGCACTGTTGCCTCACACCTCTGAGACCTGGGTTCGAGTCTCCACCTGGGTCACATGTGTGTGGAGTTTGCATGTTCTCCCCGTGTCAAATGTTTACTCTGGTTTCCCCCCACAGTCCAAAGACATGCTGAGGCTAATTGGGGTTACCAATTAGAGTGTGCCCTGTGATGGGCCCCCCGTCCAGGGTTGTTCCCTGCCTCATGCCTGTTGCTTCTGGGATAGGCTCTGGACCCCCCCCCCCTGCGACCCAGTAAGATAAGTGGTTTGGACAATGGATGGATGTTAAATTATTATTATTATTACACACAACAGGTGCCCCCAGGGAAGGTACTACATTGGTGTGAATAGCAAGTTCGTTCAGAAAATTTTGGGACTTGTGTTTAAGGACTTTATGTAACCTCTAACCAAGACTATTATTTCCATCTTGGGTACAATGTTCTGAGTGCCTTGTGTATTTTCCAGAAAGATGGGGCTTCTTTTGCATATATACTAACTAGGAGTGTAACGGTACACATATTCGTACTGAAAATTTTCGGTATGGGTCTTTCAGTTCCATACGCATATGTACCGAACAAATGCAGAAAATGTGGAGCCTTCGTGTGTTTGTGTTTCCCCTAAAATTCGGAAAGGGGCGAATGAAACCGCGTCACTATGCATACGCGCTGTCATGCCCCGATCGTCCGCTCCTTCCGTGTGCTACGCCCCCTCGTTAACCCCGTGTGGATTCCCCATGTTTACCAGCTGTTTCTGATGGTTGTCATTAGTCCAAAGTATTTTGTCCACGTTTACGTTTGTTTCCCCAGTCCGGTCATTATAATGTCACTGCGTGTTTTCTTGCCTGCCCTTTTTATTAAATCCCGTGTTCCCCGATTTCCTGACTGCCGCTCCTCTGTCTCCGTTCCGAGTCCCGCGTACGGCACGACACACGTACATCCTAAGGTGAAGCTGGAATTGGTTAATATGAATACAAATACAGCACAAGTATTTTTTTAAATGCTGCATCATAATGGATATTTAATGGATATTTGCTATGCTTTGTATTTTTTCAGACGTTATTTGTGTTGCTCAGTTCTAATATGAAGTCGAAAGCAGTCCAGTTCAGTACAGATCGGGTACAGTTAATTTTCTAAATGTGCACCTTAATGGAAATTTATTTTATTTTTATTTACTTGAGAGAATATTTACCCCCACAGTACCGAAAACATACCGCTCGAGCTGTGACTTCAAAGCCGAGGTACGTACCGAACTGTGATTTTTGTGTACCATTCCACCCCTAATAGGCTACTAACCCATAGCATTAAAATGTCATAGTCAGGCCACATTACAGTGTATATTACTACTTTATTTCCATACTGATAGGGAACTCCCTGTCATAAAGCATGTATCAGTAGTACCTTGATATCCTGGTGTAATTTTATCCCTGAACTCCAGTGTTTTGTTGAACTGGTAGCAAATGCCATTCAGGTGTGTATTCTGGTCACACTCCCAAGCCATTCCTGCACCGCAAGCCTGGGAAATATGAGAAACACAATTATTATATAACAGTCAAAACAGATGTACTCAAACACTTCACTGACAAATAACCACAGAAAAAATGCTGTCTTGTTTTGGGGATAATTTATACCAGTTTATACCAGCTATCATTTGTGCTCTTTCTCTATTTGTCACAATGTAGATACTTTTCAATGACTTGTACTGTGACCTGAAAACACAACATTGCCACCACTTTCATTGGGCCTTATGGGGGCACTGTCCTGTTTTCACTAATTGAAAGATATTCCAAAAAGGATTTTTGCTTTTACAGCGAGTTATTATACACTGCCTGCCTAAAAATGTCACACTTTAATATTTCATTGGACAACCTTTTGCTTTGATTATGGTGCACATTTGTCAAGGCATTGTTGCCATGTGCTCGGGCAAAATCTCAACAATTTCTTTCATCCAAATTTGCATTCATTTTTCATCAAAATCTTGTATTGATAGTAGGTGAGTTGAACTCTCTACAAAGTCTTCTTCAGCATTCTGCAAATACTTTCAGTGGGGTTAAGGTCAAGACTCTGTGGTGGCCAATTCAAGTGTGAAAAGGATTCCTCATGCTCAATGAACCACTCTCTCACAAGTCAGGCTCGATGAATCATGGCATTGGTTCTTAGGTACTTGCTGATTTACATTCAAACGGTGACTTTTTTGGCCATGCAATGTAGAAGCAGAGTGTACCCCAAGCAGTGAGAGTTCCCTGAGAACTACACTCAGCATCTCAGCATCAAGCTGCCGTAGCTTTGAACAGTGTCTGTGAGCACCTGTGCTTTATATTGATTTAGTTTGTGCAATTGTTAAGTGACACTACACTGTCTTTACTATCTTTACTACTTCTACTTTATATAGGCTGTGTATTTATCAGTCGATACTTTGGCGACTTATGTCTATCTCGCCATTTTGTCGACTAGTAAATATAACTCGCCGTTTTGCCGACTTATAAAGTCGACACTTTGGCGACTTATGTCTATCTCGCCGTTTTGCCGACTAGTCAGGGACGGATTATGGGTTGTGTGGGCCCCTGGGCAAAACGTTCGCGAGGGCCCCCCCCCCACCACCAGCACCACCACCACCACAACCACCACAATTCAAGGGCCCTTGGCAGCCAAACGCCCTCCCTCCATGTTTCCATCAGGGGCCCTTGTAGGCAGAGGATCAAAGAATGTAGACCCTCTAAAATAGTCAAACGAAAATACATTGTTGATAAGCGTTGCAAATTGTTTTGGGCTAGGGGCCCCATGGGCCCCCTGCATCCCAAGGGCCCCTGGGCAGCGGCCCCGCTGGCCCGGTCCGTAATCCGTCCCTGCGACTAGTAAATATAACACCATACCTCTACTACACCACACTATACACACGAGACTTAAGACCAGGGAGCGACTAGTGCGATAGGTGGGGATTCCCCGTTTCTACATTGCCGTGGTGACAAGCAGGCGGTGTGAAGCAGGCGGTGGGAATGTAGCGATTGGGGTGTCGACTTACAGGTAGGAAAATCCATTCATTTGTGTTGTTCGGGACCGGGATTTAGGTGACGACTAAGGGAATATGACGACTTACAAGTGGCGATTTACCCAAGGAATTTTAAAGGAAACATCATTAGGAAAAATCAGGACTTTTGCTTGAGCGTCGACTTGTGCACATTGATGAGTTACAAGCCGGTGACTTAGACCAGTTTTACTGTATATAATACATCAGCGGTTGCTTATCTCATTATCAAAATGCATTGCGTTAGCCCTCTTTTGCATAGTCTTACACTACAGACGAACTTGTAATTTTGTCATTGTGTAAGTCATTGCAGTCAAAATTGTTCAACAAGATATCATTGGCCGTCGAGTGTATTTTATAGGTTTCTACAAAACTTTTTTGGTATGTATTCACAATATTAATGATTCCTGCATCATTTTCATATACATGGATGAGGCTGGCTTCAACTTGGCCAAAGGAAGGAGACGTGGCTGTAATCTGATTGGACAGAGAGCTACTGTTGACGTGCCAGGCCAGCTGGGTGGAAACATCATTATGTGTGCGGCTATTTTGGACAATAGGGTCCACACTCGCATCCCTCTTTTGGGGCCATACAGCACCTAACATCTGCTTACTGTTTTAAGAAATGCACTCGCTGTAATGCAAATGTTAAGTCTGTTATGAGAAATGCACTAAATCAACTGAGGAAAAACTGTAATTATGGCTGTCAGGATCTGCACCCGTCTGTCCCAGCCTTTTGTGTCTCCTCCCCATCCTGTACTCCCTGATGTCCAAGTTATTACTGTGTTTCCCCTACCCCCTGTACTGCCGCATGGCTCAATGAGCTGAGTGTGTGGCTACTACACCCTGTAGTGGTGTGTTCAAATCCACCCCCCTCTGTTTTGGTGTTTTGTAGATTTTGTTCCCTAGTGTTTCATTTGTATCAGTCTCTTAGTGCTGTGTGTTTATTCCCTGTGTGTAGATTTGGATCCTTGTTAATGTATTGTTTCCTCTGTGCCTCCTTGAGTGTTTAGTTCCAGCCTCTGTAACTTGTAGTCACCCATCTGCCTTTATTTTTACCCCTTGTGGTCATTTTGTTTCTAGTGTGGTGTACTGCCCCCTTGTGGTCATTTTGTTTCTAGTGTGGTGTACTGCCCCCTTGTGGTCTTTGTTTCTATTGTAGTGTACTGCCCCCTTGTGGTCATTTTGTTTCTAGTGTGGTGTACTGCATGATAAAGTCTCTTGGCTTTCATAACATCACCCTATGGATCATCCATGACCATGCCATGTGACAATAGTGAGTCTTTTTCTCCCACAGTACTTAAATTATCTGATTAATTTTTTAATAGAATGTGAGTCACATCAACATCACCATACTCTGTTAAATTGTTTACACATTTTAGCAATGATAAAACTTCTATATATTACAAGTTACTATTAAAACTACTAATAATAATTATCTTCAGTTTAAAAGAATTCAACAATTTGAGAAAAAAAAAATATTTAAAATTAATTTTAAATATTCTTACCGTAATCTCTTCTGACATCGCTGCCAGAGATAATCCAATGGATTTGATGGTATAATTAGACTCTGTAGAACACACAACTGAATTACTGTGGTCAGTTCTAATGAAATCGAACATAGCTAAACCTTTTTAGACTTTCAGTAAGAATGGCTATTTTTTTATTGCTTGTTAGACAATGTTATTACCTTGCAAAGGAAGAGCTGTGCAGTTTGTATGATCACATTTGTAGATTTTTCCAGCTCCATTGTTTCCCAGTGGTGCACTGACAATAATCCTAAAAGATGCAAAATGATAGTATATCATTATGGACTATTATTTTAAATAATTCTATACTTCCATTTTCCCTAATTGCTTATGCAGTATAGAGTCCAACGGGCCTGAAGTCTAACCAATGAAACAGAAGGCAATGTAATATTCTTCAAGGAATGCCTGTAATAATAAGTGTTACATTTAAAAATTATATAATGCCATCATCCCTTTATTCTGCTTACATTCATATTAAATCCTGTTCAGCTCCTCCTATTTTAGTTACCATCTGAAGGAAATTATATTATTGTCACACTAGGTAGATAAGGGAGACACAGATCCAGAAGTACGGGGAAACAGAGCTTTAATTAGGCAAACAAGTCCAGAGACGGCTCAGCAGGACAGGCGGGTCAAGGACGGGAGCTGGACTAAGGAGGCAAGGAATAAGAGGTAAGGATTGTACAATAGGCAGACAGGCAAGGGACGGGACGGGACGGGACGGGACGGGACGGGACGGGACAGAATAACACTCAGTAAGGCTGTACATGGCGCAATACTTCGCGGTTTGTTTGCGCGAGGTACTCTCCTTATATTGAGGAGGTAATCAGTCCCTGATGCCCCGCACCTGTCCGATCCGCCCCTGTGGGCGTGACAGATGTGGGCGTGACAGGCGTGGGCGTGACAATTATAAACAGCTTTAACATTAAATTCAGAGTATATAATGTAAAATCTGAACCACTCTTATACTGGAATTGTGTGGAATGCTGCTCAGGTGCCCTATATCCTATAGGGCACCCTGAATCACTATTACCTTTGATAGGGTTTAATTCAATTTTAGAAAAATTGTTTCATATGGAGTTAATTTTGTGCCAAAAGTATTAAACAAAATTTTGAAAACCGCAAGCAGATTATCAGAATGAAAATTTACATTGCAAATATAAAAAAAATAGAATTTCATCTCTTCTTTTTCTTCTCTTTGTTTTGCTTCTGGAATTTATTCTGCTACTGACATTTGGCACTTTTTTTAACAGGTTGGCAGGCATTATGTCATAAGTTGGGGAGCATGGATTGAAGGGCATCAGGACTGTATCAAAATTTAAAGTCCTCTGAGCTGCACAAAACTGTAAAACTGGGCCAAAGTTTGAAAGGGCAGCTATCTGATAAATAAAGGTGCATGGGCATACATAGAACAGAGTCCAACACCTTAGCTTGACCTATGTAGCATAAGAACATAAATTTACAAACGTGAAGAGGCCATTCAGCCCATCAAGATCATTTGGGGAGAACTTAACTAATAGCTCAGAGTTGTTAAAATCTTATCTAGCTCTGATTTAAAGGACCCCAGCATTTTAGCTTGCACTACACTAACAGGAAGACTATTCCATACTCCAACTACACACTGTGTAAAGAAGTGCTTTCTCAAATTCACTTTAAAATGTTCTCCCGCTAATTTCCACTCATGGCCACGAGTTCTAGTATTTAAACTAATACTGAAGTAGCCATTTGGCTGAACAGCATCCAGACCTGTTAGAATCTTATATACCTGGATCATGTCCCCCCTTAGTCTCCTTTGCTCGAGGCTGAACAGATTCAGCTCAGCTAACCTCTCCTCATAAGACATTCCTCTAAGACCAGAAATCATTCTTGTAGCCTACGTTGCACCCTTTCCAAGGCAACAATGTCATTTTTAAGGAACATTTGTAAATTTGGAACATTCAAATTAATATCTGCTATCAATGAGTTGGTCGATTTAGTCTTTCTGTACCTTCACATTGTCCCTTGTACCCCCATATTTTTTGACCCAATACTCAATGTCATGCAACACATGGTTCCTGCAGAAAACTGAATGTTGGGAAACCTCCTCATCAAGGCCCCAAAAATTCCCTTTTCTCTGTCCAGAGTGACAGGCACTTTCTTGAATTTTTTAGAAACCATCTCAAGTTTCCCCAGAATATCAACCATAAACATTTCACGATGCTGCATGAATTTGCGCTCATGCAGGATGAACCCTACAGGAAATACAGGGTCATTAACTAGAGAAGTGCTTCTCATGGTGAACACAGAAACATAGGAAGTCACCCCTCTGAAATGTTGGGTCATAGCTAAGGATTTGAGGGTAGCTGAAAGTAATGGCATCCTCCAAGTTGGCGCATGCCAAATCCAGTATATTGGGCATCCCAGAAAAAACTAGAAGATTGGGAAAAATAGAAACATACTGTACCAGACAAAACCTGGAAGCTGGTATGGCAGTTGATGGAGACTGAACATTTCATCATGAGAAATACTTTGTGTATTCCTGCTAGCATATACTGTGTTCTGTACTTGATTAAGATTGCGTGGGCAATTCACAGGCCATGTATTCCACATTGGTACTGCATGCTTTAGATAAGGTGGACTGGTAGATGTTAGATGGAGCTTGCCCATGGTCATTGTGAAGGATGTGTGTAAAAAAAACTTTTTAGAAGGAATGAAAATTGTTTCTGTTTTTGCATTGCCATGTTTCCTTGGCACAAACACATTGTCAACCGCCAGGTAGTGAATAAAATATAAATTTGTTGCCAAATTATCTTTATTATCTTGCTGTACTGGGCAGTACACGTTCTTTTTAAATTTTGATGATCCCTGAGGTGTCCTAATATGGTAATACCACTTCATCACTCTACCGTATTTTTTAATGTAGTTTTAATTTGACCCTTTCTGTTTCCACATCATTTGGTCAAAATGAAAGTCCATGCTAGATCTTCCTCCCTTCAAACTCCTATGAAGATGGAATCCACCCCTCTTCGGCTTCAGGGGTGGCTCATTGGAAATGAAACCTTTGAATTTTCAGCATTAACAAGAATGACCTCTATTTCAGCTAGAGTAAACTCTGACTCTTTTTGCATGAAAGACGTAATTTCTCTCTGAGTAGAAAGTTTAACAATGGAATGAATTTTAATTTAGTGGGAGTAGACAAGACCTATGTTGCGTTACCACAATTGTAAAATTGTAGAATTTAATAAATAGAAAAAACTGGCCAGTGACTGTGGTGCTTTCTTATATATAGCTGTACTGTATGTAAGTTTTATGAAGGTTTCTTTGTTGTATTATTGTAATCAATTAAGTTAAAAAAAAATCAGCAGTATTTCTTTGCAATATACAGACGCTTCTCTACTTATGAATGTTCAACTTAGGATCTTTCAGACATACGAATGAAGAGGACTGTAAGTCCAAATTGTGTTCATTGGGCTCCCGTTTCCTGTCCGCAACATCATTTTTTTTTTCTGCGCGCCAATTCCGCCTCGTACGACTTCTGACCGCTACTCCCGCCGTGCAGCAGCGCAGCTTCGGTACTCCCAGCATCCTAGTTCTTTGTACTTGCAATTACCCTTAAATGATGTTGAATAACTACTTACGAACATTTCCAGTTACGAACGGCCATTCATAAGCAGAGGAGCGTCTGTACAGTATATTATAGGCTACGATGGTGGTCTGCTAATAAAATATAAATTTAATGTAGCCTTTAAAATGACTGTTGAGAGGTAGGCCTAAACCTTGAGTGTGGCTGTTGGATGACAGTATTCTGAGAATTTAAGAGTATTAAAATTGTGTAACTATAACAAACATGACTATTAAATAACATGTCTGTTATAAAGGGCACTATGATAAAATATTACCCTAAAGGCGGTTGGATGACAGAATTTGGCAAATGTTAAGAATATGACAATATTCTTAATAAGAAGTATGACAATAGTTGTAATATTCTTTCTATTTTATATATAATATACAAGAAGTATTACAAATGGTACTAATAAAATGTTACTCTGAAGTGGCTGTTAAAGCCTTGAATGAGTCTTAAAAATAGGCTGTTTGATTAAAGTTTAATTTGCACTGTTAATTCACAGAGATTTCCAGGACACTGTGAGCAGGATGACTGTAGCTTACCATTGCTGGCAAAGTCTTAAAAGTTCCTCGAGTCCGTTATGTTCATTTCAAATTACAACACTTAATTTCATTAGCCCGTTACCATGCTTTATTTTTTGTGACTGGCCATTAACTTAATCCCAAACTAAGCATTTTTTTTTTTTTGCTAGGTAGATGCGTTTATGGCCAGATATATCTCAGAGAAATTTGGTGATTATTGGTCGCTGTTTTAGTACATTAAGGCACGTAAAGCCTTTTCTTTATAATGGGCATCAATGGAGACGAAAACGTTTAGCGTGAGATGAAGTCTCTATTCCTAGCATTTCGGTTTAGATTTTTTGCCAGATAAAAGTCTTTATGACCAGATATAGGTAAGGAGCATACACTGATTACAGTACGTTACCACACCCACCACACAACAAACCACCTCAAGGATGAGAACCTGAGTGCAGCCATGTGGCGGGTGATACCTCAGCACCACACTAGTCCAAATGGACCAGTGTGAGTTTTTTTCCAGTAGCTGGAGTGCCAGTCCATATATGTCTGAGCAAAATTTGATGATTATTGGTCGCTGTTTTGGTACATTAAAACACATTAAGGTTTTTCCTTATAATGGGCGTCAATAGAGAGGAAAACGTTTAATGTGAGGTAAAGTCCGTATTCCTAGTATTTTGTTTTCAATTTTTTGCCAGGCAGAATTGTTTATGACCATATATGTCTGAGAGAAATTATGTGATTATTGGTCACTGTTTTGGTACATTTAGCCACATTTAGCTTTTTCACGTTAAGCTTTTTGGAACGTCCCCTTCACTCTTTGCGTTAGATCGTTAAAATAAAGCCCCAAGACTCTGTCAGTTCTGTTATAACTGAACTTGGATATGTTGCTGGAAACACATCCAACATGCTAATTTTGAGATGACATCCAAGTGTGTATGACCGGTAGTGTTGTAGTCAAGACCGCCTAAACCGAGACCAAGACATTGCCGAGACCG